TACAAACTTCAGTTCGTTACTGGGTAGTCATCTCATGGATATCATTTTTATGTACCGCTCTATATCCCCCCCAAAAGAACATATATACATCAATCATCAGGTATGACATTTACATAATAACCTTGTGGGTGGCGGGCTTCTCCTCCTCCTCGCCGAAGATGTTGATATTCCAGCGAGGCTTGTTGGCAGTGTATGGGATGTTGAAGCGGCGGGGCTGCTTGCCGAGCGCAGACACCCTCTCAACTTCCTCGGGAGTAAGCTCGATCTCCTGGAAATTGCTTTTAATCCGTCCTTCCGAGACACTCTTCGGAATGACACTGTGGCCACCGACCTGAGACCAGGCGAGGATGACCTGGGCGGGGGAGACTTCCTGGCCGAGTCTCTTGGAGACGTCGGCGGCAACCGCCTTGACCTCGTCGCTGGCGATGAGGAGAGGGAGACCGAGCATGTTGTTACCAAAGGCCTGTAAAAATCAGCGAGCTGTTGACAATGGTGAGTGGAAGGTAAAAGGGTGGCATACCGAGTAGGCAGTGACATGGATACCCTTCTCCTTGCAGTAGGCAATCAGCTCGTTGCTCTGCAGACGAGGGTGGCGTTCGATCTGGTTGACAGCGGGAACAACGCCAGTGGCCTTGATGATGGCCTCGAGCTGTAGGGTGTGAGCTATTGTGTCTCAATTCAGGTGCGGGTCACTTACGTGCTCAACTGTGTGGTTGGAAACACCGACAGCACGGGCCTTGCTCTTGGGGAGCTTGGTCATGGCCTTCCAGGTGTCAACAATGGAAATGCTGTCATCGATTTCGACATCGCCCTCGGGGATAGGGCTGTCCTTGACGAGAGGAAAGTACTCGTTGCCGGTCTTGAAAGCAACCTGCAACTGGTCAGTATGGGAATGATGCGAGTTGGTCGTTGCTCTTACCGGCCAGTGCACGAGGTACATGTCTAAGTAGTCGAGTTCGAGCTCAGCAAGGCAGTCATCGAGAGCCTTCTCGACAACGTCTGGGTGATGCTGGCTGTTCCATAGCTTGGATGTCTGCAATTGTTAGAATGGCGTCAAGGCGATTGCGGTGAGCGAGCACAACGTACGATGAAGAGGTCCTCGCGCTTGAGGCCAGGGATGTCCTGGAAGGCTCTCTTAATACCCTGAGCGACTTCGCGCTGGTTCTGATAGATAGTCGCGAGATCCAGGTGACGGTAGCCAGCCTTCAGGGCGTGGTAGACAGCCTCACCGACCTGACCGGGGGCAGATTGCCAGGTACCGAAACCCAGCTGACTGTTGGTTCAGGGGTCAGTTATTGACTTATGGTAGTTCCAAGGACGAGACGGAGCCAAACTTACGGGATCTGAGCACCGGTGTTGAGGGTGACCTTCTTTCCGAGAGACATTGTGATGGGAGTGTGGGCTGAATGGATAGTAATGTGCAGTGAGGGTATCAAAAGAGAGGCAACTAGAGGAGAAGAGACAAATGGATGGAATCAGAGAGGAAGGAGAGGATAGAAATATCCAGGGACAGCTCTGGGAGTCGGAGGTGTTCCGGTGGGGGGGAGCGTTCGATGGGAACCTTGACGACAGCTAGTCTAAGACGCGACAAGTGTGGCTTTTGCGCATTACGGAGTCCTAATTTGGAACCATTGCCAGAGTAATCAGCAAGAAGAATCCTATCATCGTCCGCAAATTGGCAACCCCCAAACCCCGCCATGCCCCACTGAGGGGTTCTAAAGCTTTCCAGCGTGGGATGTCGTGTTTCGATGACATATGGACTCATCTGAAGTTGTTCCGTTGTCGTCGGACTACTGTGAAGCGTCTGATGAGTGGCAGCTCTTAGATTATTATTGTGGACATTAGCAATACAATACTCTAGTCCATCTTTTCACCAAGTTATTTTCTTCGTAGACAATAAATCATTCTCTGGTAGAAGCTCAGTCCAGGGGCATCGAATTGGAGGGGAAAATCGGGATGATGTCACCGAGGACCGTAATTAACCGTGCCTGCCACGTGACCTGCCCGCAGGATAATTTCCTCTTTCTGTGGTCCAATCAGTGCCTCGGCTTTTCTTGAGTCTTACCTTATTCTCGGCCTTTCAGCGAAATTCGGTTAATTCTAGGTCAATACTGACAGCAAAAAAGTTGTCCCCAGCGGACATTATCCATCGCTTTTCCCAAAAAAAAGCCCAGACTTCTACTCCGCATATCCAAATGCCTTCGGTTGTTGACGGTACACAGAGCTTTGCGAGAAAGGGTCGCCAGGCAGTTCAGCTGACGTTGATGAGGGACGACGGATGCCAGGGGACGGTACAAACTACAAATAATCAGCTTGATCCACAAATGCTTAATGCGATTATTTCTCGCAACATAGCTGATTGTTTTTCTATATCTCCCAGTCTCAAGACCATCACTCCCTGCGCTGTCGGCGTGGTATTGGCAGCCTAGCTAGCATCTTCGGGCCCGTCCCGAATGGATACGAGTTCCCGAGTTCGTTTGGCGCGTGCCGATGCGATACTCGGACCCGGCGATCGTTCGGGATCATTTAAGGAATGGAAACATGTGTATCTCTCATTACATCTGTTAGGCCATCTATCCTTCGATATTGGTGACTTAAAGGAAATATTACTAACCGGATGACATAGCGTTGTTTTTGAAATCTCAACCGTAGGATTGTTGCAGGTACGATGTTCAGCTCACGGCATACGAAAACGTCACCAAGGAGTGACAAGATGAGTAAATTTCATTTCTAGCAGGAGGAACGATGTTGATGTCGCTTATTGGAGGCACTATGACTACATATTTCCCCACTTGAGTGATGTATGCACCTACAGTGCAACACAAACTATCCCTACTCATCGTCCTATATGATTTCCGTCCTGCTAATTTCTAGCACATACGACCATAGGGTGTGGAAAACAGGGCTTCCCGTCCGCTCAGCCGTACTTAAGCCACACGCCGGCCGGTTAGTAGTTGGGTGGGTGACCACCAGCGAATCCCGGCTGTTGTATGTTTTTTCCTTTTATTTTAGTTTGCTTAATGCCCCATATCTTCGGGACAAGTGATGGTAAAGTAGAGAAGTCTTGAAGCACAGTTTTACGCCGGCCCAAACCGGGAATTTATATCCCCAGGGAGACTTTGAAGTATTAGGACTATCCTATGAAGACCATGAGGGACATTTCTCAAGGACTGCCCGCTGGCATATGGAATCAGACTTGGTAATCCCTCGAGGAGCTTATAGCATATGAGTAGGCATTTCCACCACTCAGCATGACGGCAGGGTCACTGGTAGAAGACGCGTATCAAACTGATAATTGAAGATGGCAACAGGGAAAGACAGGCCTTAGATAATGCTGAAGCTGTGAGCAAAAGCCTAGAGTCCCGTAGGTGTTGCCGTGTCTTTCTCAAGCCCCGATGGCACTGCGGGAAGGAGTACAAGCATCATGAGACCAGAACAAAGACCACAAAACCTACGTGAGCCTCCAGGAAGCGGTGGACGAGTCTAGGATGTAAAGCAGCTGAGCCCAATCGTAACGCAATGCAAATCCAGCAATGTGAAGGATATTGTAGTTTCCTGTACATGACAAAGCATCGCCTGAATGTCCAACAACTAAGATCACGGATGGGACGATGGGGAGTATCTGGACGTCTGATCTCACAGGCAAGGATTGCAAGAGCGTCGAGAACAGTGATATTTGTAGGAGCAGAGAGGTACGTATTGCCTCTGTGATTACATAAAAAGCAGGCCAGAGTTGTCCGTGGCATTCTCAATGCGCTTGTGAGGAATCTGACCACTCAGTTTTCATACACAACTAACGCGACTTCGAAAATGAAAACAGACCGCCAATGCTGCAGACAGATGGAGTAAGACAATACTTACATTGGTACAGCTGAAGAAGTTGACATAAGAACAAATAACCATGGTGGAAATAGCTCTGCTTCCAAGAATACCCTATCGTAAGATTGTGTTAGCAGATCTTCTTCGACAGACTGAACTCGGATGACTGGGAATAAGAAGTAAAAGCCCGCACTCAGCTGTAGGATGCTGAAACTTCTCCTAGCTTTCCTTCAATCTAGCTATTGGAGTCTATGTTCGTGTCCTCCCTGCGGACGGACCCGCGGTTAGAGAGTACATGCTGGACCATCGCGGCTGTGCCGAACAAGGAAAGTAAAGGTAATCCAGTTATAGTGGTCGCATGGAAAGCAGTGACACGACCGCGGTGGAAAACAGACCCGAGACAATAAGTGTCTCTGGCACCGGCCCAAGGTACAGAGGAGACTGTCGCATGTCTCTATAAAGTAGTCGAACAGAGTTAATCGTGACGTATGGGAATTGAAAATGTAAAAGAGATATCTGTCGTACACCACCGAAGAGTAGTGCGAACCATCAGTGAGAAAGGAATTGTAGAAGATGTGGCAAAAGGCAGCGAGGAGTCTTCGCAAGTCTCAGTTGAGATGAATGCCATCTATCTTGCATGCCACTGGATGATAATGTGCCCGGTGATACAGGGATAGCATTGTCTGTGTGCTTCAGTTTAGATGAAATGCCAACTACGTTTCTGCTTGCTTATTTATTCCGAAGTCAAAGTCAGTTACATCAAGAAACCAGCCACCTATTCTTCCATGGTGCTGTCTCTTTCTTTGTCAGCGACCTCGTTCTACTATAGTTAGTATATAGCTAACCTGCAAGAAGCTAAAGACTGAGTCACTTACCACAGTCTCGGCAGAAGTAGGATCGCAGTGTCAGACATGGTGGGAGACTCTGTACTGGATGCAGCGGGAGTGTCGGTGACGGACGCAGTACTAAACTAGTATCTATCTCCTCATGGACCTTGGTCTAACATAGCAGCATCTCCCGCCTCTCTAGCAGAAGACGCAGTATCCGGAGTAGTCTCACTGTTAGTGGCATCATGGTCCGCATTGGTGCTTGCAGTGATTTCAGTCGCAGAATAAGTCAAGCTTAGCGATCCTGCTTCCTAGAAGTAGGATTGCATACAGGTAGCGTATAGGAACCAAGCCTTATTCATATTCATAGTCCGTCCATTCATCATCTGCCTCCCCTTTCCAAAGCTTATCTTCATTCCTGGGCCCCTCCAACGTCTCACCATTCGGGATCAGTTCCTCGATACCCTCAATAACGACAAGTCGGGGGAGCTTTTGATCTTTCTCCGCCATCAGCTTAGCAAGCTGGTCTTCAAGCAAGTTTTGTGGAACACCTCTCAGCCGCGGCTTCATTCCCTTCTTGTAGCCATATATGCGAAGTGACTCAAGATTCGGCGGCAGGTGATCGACAAGGGAAAAAGAATCATTAACGCTCTGGTCACCCCACTGGTTACCACACTGTTCACCACCATATCCACGAGCATAAAGATAAAGAATATGAACCCCTAGACTGAGGTCTTTCAGTTGTAAGAAGCTTCGAAGAGACCAAGCATCCACAGGCACATTAGAAGATATTTGTTCCTCCTCCATAGGAAGCTTCTCAAGCTCATCAGCCCACTCATGCAGGTAAACTGGATCGTCCCGGTGTGATCCTTGCTCTTCTTCTTCTGGGATGTACTTCAGATACCTCAGACCAACAAGGTCTAGTTGACGAGTTTGCCCTTCTACATCAAGGTCCAGCTGGCGCAGGGAGGCTCGGTGAGCAAAAAGTGCCCGAAAGACATACTCTGGGTGGAACGATATCAGCATACCGTTCTTTGAGAAGCGGCCGCCGATCCCATATGTGAATTTTTCCAGACGTTTGGCTGATTCAATTGTATATACCAGGTACGGGTAATGAAGGCTGGAGTGCTGAATTTTAATACAGGTATAATTTCCTGATTGAGGTGGGGGCTCAACGCTTGGGAGATCTGGGTCAGAAATAGCATCCACGTGGACAGTTTCCATGGCTGGCAGACGTCGCACTAGGTTTAGACTGCTGAATAGGTCATAGGGTTGGTAATCTGATGTTTCGTACACGCAGGTATTTGGATCGACTAGGAATCTGACAGCTCGGAGGTTCTGTAAAAACGGCATGTCCTTCTCACGGACGAGTTCTAGGAAATGCTTGAATACATAGTCAGCTATGGGAGGTGGTTCGCCATCAGCTTCTGCTTCTAGTCTCAAGAACTTGGGCTCCTCATATCCCACAGGGCAAAAGCCAAGAGACTCAAGCATAGGTGAGACGGAAACCAGGAGGGCTGCTAGTGCCTGAGCCAAAAATGGAGATCGTGGGTCATTGTCACTATTCCAAGTCAGAATTTAAGTCAAGACAAAGAAGGGTGCCATACTCCATGCTAGCAGGATCCTGTAGTAATATATTCAAAATTTTCTCCTGCTTTTCTACCGACTTAAATCCCAATTGTTTAATGGCTTCTTCAAGCCTAAGCAGGTCATCTAAGTCTAGTACCCTTTCTGCAGGGCGTAGTTGGTAGCTCTCCACGACCTCATACTTTATTGTTGGTGATCGCTCCAGCTGGATATTACAGACATATAAACCCAGTCGGGGTGTCTTTAGTATTGAGAGTAACATCCCAAAGGCTTTTGCACAATCTGAGGTGTTTCGCAGCCTTACTCGGCGGTATTTGCGCCGAGTGGACATCTCACACAGGCGATGTATGCGGCGAGATTGCAGGGAAAGTGAGGCAACATCACGATGAGAGAGATTATTAATAACTCCTTGTAGGACTTCGTCTGAGAGTGAATGGATGGACATGGTTGGAGAGGGTGCTTGATTTGGCTCCAGGGAATGTCGGTGGAAGCTGATATTTATAAGGGCGGCACTGTTCACTGCTAAAACAAGGACGGTAAGGCCCTTATCTTGGCGTTGTAGCTTTTTGCGCAATTACAGTGATTATCAGGTAATGCCAAGATCTAGTAATATTACCCTAATATAAAGGCCCTCCTGTCTCTATCTGCGGAAGAGGCTCTGGCAAACATGCAGCTAGTAAAAATCTGCCATTGCACCTGTCATGGTGTAATAGAACCGAAAGATTTGCCAAGAACTGCGTCGATTCTAGGATGATTTATTGACTATAATTGGGAGCTTGGCGAGGGTAATGAGGTTGGTATAACTGTGATAATGGAACAGGCTACAGCTGTTCGCTTGAAGATGGTCTAAATAGACACTGCAAAAGTAAATTATCAAGGTATCAAGGGCACTTGAAATGAGTACTCAGGAGAAGAAAAGAAGAGAGATATGGAAGGTATCAGGGAGGAAGAGGGAGAGTACTTATAGACGATCACATACGAAGAAGTTGGTGCTCATATCCCTGGGGTCGCCGTGCCAGAAAGAGTGCGACATGCTACCGTTTGTTATGATATCCGTATGATGTATCATTCATAAGAGCTAGTCTGTCGGCGAGGTAGATATGCTCTACTCCGTCGTGCAATTGTAGGTAATGCCCCAGTCGAGCCATACATACATACGTTCGACACCGGTAGCAGTGCTATCAGTGGGTTACCTACATTGCACCAAGCCACCTCACTGTCACGATCGCCGCGGCCCCGGCCACAACCTCGGCCACAGGCGCCACCACGACTTCTTGCACGCCGAACGCCGGCCTTGTCTTGCTGGTGCCTCAAGGGCAATCTTATCTTGATGGGCTGGCTTGATTCCGTGCTTTCGAGCAGGGTTTACCGAACATGTCGAAAGTGGAAGGGCGACATTCCGCGAGTCCTTGCAGCCGGTCTTCGCATAATAGTCCAAAACTCGGACCAGAGATTACGAGATAGTGATCGGCGTCCTGAGTCCTGGGATCCTGCTCCGTGTAGGAGGATGGGTGGGATGGATCATGCGTAGACCCACCCGCCCTTGGGGCCCCACGGGGAATGACAGGGATGCAGGAACTGTACAACACCCCACCAGAGTTAACCCATTGGGCCATATCCCCTCCCAGATCAAATTAACCTCTATGTATTTGAAGAATAAAGTTAGTAATCCTTATCGATCAATTTACTTGTGCTTACTTTAGCCTATTCTCCACTCAACTCATCCCGGCATTTTAACCGACCACAAAAACTGCCAGCTCTTCCCCCCGGACAGCTTCTTAGTTCTGCGACATTCCGCGACTCTCCCAGAAATAGGCGACATATGCGTCCGAGGTCACCAACACATGGCACAGACCCCACCAATTTTGATGGAATCCACCTCCCCTGAGGTTCCATTCAACCTCCCCGGTCCATCTACAGCCGGCGACGTACGACGGACCCCACGCGGAGCCGCGGCATATCCCCGCAAAAGGGCCATCACCGCATGCCAGGTCTGCCGTGCGCGGCGCACCAAATGCGACAATCGGAAGCCTTCATGCTCCTTTTGCCTCAAGGTTGGCGCTCGATGCGTCCAATCCGCCGTCGATTTATCCAAATTCGATCCAGCGAGCATCAAGATCTTGGAGGAACTAAGCGAGCTTAAAGATGCGATGGGGAAGTGTCAGTCTGCTATTGAAAACCTAGGAAACTTGGAGGTGCATGTGGGGGGGTCTACATCGGTTGCTGTAAACTGCTCTCCAGGCGAGACAGTTTCTGACGTAGACCGGACTCGACTGTTGCCTCCATCTATTGAGGCTATTTGCCAGTGGCCGATTCTTGATCTAACCCCAGTTCCCCCGCGCGGAGAGGGTCTAACTCTAGCCTCTACCTCAACCGACACAGACAGCGGGACGGGCTTATCACCGGATAACCTGGAAATGCGACTCACCCGACCGCTACTCGATCGGTTTTTCCAATACGTGCACGTCAAAAATCCTGTGCTCGACGAAACATATACGCGCCGATTAGTTGCCTATTTCTGCGTTGAGGGGCTAGACTGGTCCCCAGAATCATGTCTTGCCCTTCTTGTTCTTGCCCTTGGGGCAACCGCTACCCCATTTGGGGACCCCGACCAACCCGAAAAGGAGTCGGCATCTATCATCAGTGCCCGCTCCTTATACAGAGCCGCACAGAAGCGACTAGCCCTGACGGTGGACGGCCCAGATAGGGTACTGGAAGCACAATGCTATTTCCTGTCCGGTGTATACGCAGCTACCCTCTTCCACTTAGACACCGCCTGGAAACACTTCCTCCATGCCCTAGCATGCTGTCAAACGTTCCAATTCCAGTCCTCTGCCTCCTCACGCGACACGCAGGTCTTCGATCCGGTCCACAGCGAACGCACCCGCGGTGGGCGAACTCTAAGCCGAGAACAAACAATCTACTGGTCCTCCTGGAAATCCGAACGTGAACTCCGCAGCCAATTGACCGTCCCTGATTTTGCCCTCTCGCAAACAGAAATGGTCACATACCCACATTTCTTCCCTACACCCCCGGTAAACGAGGATGCCGAATTCCCGGGCCCGAGCGAAAGCCTCCACGTCCGCGAGGAACAATCATGGTACTTCTACCTCTCTGAAATCTCTCTCCGCCGCTTATCATCCTGCATCGCGAAGGGAATCGTGCAGTTCTACCCCACACTACCCGGGGAGCATTTTCTCGACGGATTAGCTACAGCAACCCGTATCCACGAATCTCAAGCAGAGGAGTGGGCTATCCGGCTTCCACGGGTTTTATCCCTTGACCAACCGCCAGAAACGGATGATATCTGTCGATTTGTCCTTCGCGGCCACCTGCTCAATCTATACGAAAGTATCTACTGGCCCTTCATTGACGCGCTGATTAGCGGGTTTCCGATGGATGGGGAGAGAGTATTACTGCGGAGCCTTGTGCTGAAGGGATTACAGAAGCATGCTGAGAGGCTGTGGGTTAACCACGCCGGGTATAAGCATCGGCACCACGGGACACTATTTCTGCTTCGGAATTGTAGTCGGAGTGCACTGGTGCTCGTGGCTGCCGCGTTGGCGATTCAGAGGCAGTTGGACAAAGAGGGGCGGTGCGAGGTCATGATGCCTTTGGGGTGGAGGGAAGCCGTGCTTTTAGCGGTGGAGATGAATCGGTATTGGGCGGGCGAATCGGCCGATGCGGCGTACCTGGAGAGGGTTGTTGAGGCTGCTTGGGGGAGGGTTGAAGGGGTCCATATTTAGCGAGAACCTCGTTTTTCTGCTTATCCTTTACATGTTTTGATAAACTAAGGATTTCTATAACCCTACACCATAGTAAACCCTTCTTAGTTTTTTTTTTAGTCTGGTAGGCAAATCACGGGTTTGTAATCTCCCCACACTAACAAGCTATTAACTTCAAATCAATATAATCCGACTGATACCGGCTAGGTTCTCCATTCGTTAAGTGGGAGCAAAAACCGCAGAGATTGATAGGATGGTTGCACCTATAGCCTAAATGCCTAAATGCATTTCTCCTTTCATGTCCCACTCACTAGTACCGTGCAAGCGTGTCTGCGTGGAATGCACACTTAGACTTTCTGGCAAAACCTTACCTTGGTAGGCTTCGCGGAGTGTCGGAGATCCAGCCAAGTGGCTAAGCCGATTTCTCTCACTACCCCGGACTTTAGCGGTGTCTACCGTCCGGTAGTTATACTCGTCTGGGGAGGTCTCCGCAGATATATAGAACCCCGGATGGTCGATCATCAGACTGTACAAGTGGCACTGATGAGCAGAGGTTGTCGCTACCCATTCCTTTCTACATCTATCATTTGACTACTCTACTACAATGTCGGACACAATGGGGGGAAAGCCCTCTGCAGACGCTGCCGAACAGGAGACTGCGGTCAGCCACAAAGAACACATAGATGTGGTTCATTCAGTCGAAGATTCCTTGACGTTCTCTTATATTGTGAAGCACCATAAGGCAATTATCGCGTGGTCTTTTTATTGGGCCATGTGTGCAATCGGCTGGTAGGTAGTTTACCACCTGCTTCCCCGGCAATAAACAATTGAAAAAATCACATCACTTATAACGCTATATGCAGGGGTTTCGATGCTCAAATCAACGGCGCAGTAATCTCCGTCCCTGCCTTCCGGCGCGAATACGGATACGTCTTGGATGGGGAAGCGATCCTCCCTGCGAACTGGCAGTCCGCGTTCAATGTAGCCAGCTCGATTGGCCAATTCTTTGGTGGATTTCTCTGCAGCTGGATGGCAGATAGGGTTGGGCGCAAGCGCTCTCTTCTTTGTGGTTGTATCATCTGCATTGGAGGCACCTTTGGTGAAATATTTTCCCATGCCCGCGGCGCCTTCCTCGTCTCGAAGCTCATTCTTGGGGTTGGCTTGGGATTCTATCTGACACTTGGGCCGCTCACTTGCAGCGAAATTACACCGGTGGTGCTGCGTGGCTTATCGACTGCTGGTGTCAACTTGGGTATTTGCGTTGGTCAGCTCCTGTCTAATGCAGTCATCAAGGGGTTCGGTGAGCGAGAGAATCGTTGGGCATTCGCGGGGCCGTTTGCAATGCAGCTGATCTTCTCGGTGATACTGCTTGCTGGACTTCCTTTTGCTCCGGAATCACCCTGGTATCTAGTTCGGAAGAACCGGATGGACCAGGCTCGGAAGTCGCTCCATAAGCTATGGGGCAAGGACTTTGACGTCTCTGCTCTATTAACCACAATCCAGGTATCCGTCGAAGAGAGCGCACAGCAAGCAAAGGCCAGATACATCGACTGCTTTCGCGGTACAAATCTACTCCGCAGTGCCATTTCCTGTGGTGGATTTGTGTGCCAACATCTTGTCGGGATCATCTTCGTCTTGGGTTACTCAACGTATTTCTTCGAACTCGCTGGGCTGGAGACAACGCACTCCTTCGATCTAGGTGTCGGTGTCACAGCTTGCGGCGTTTTTGGCAACTTCCTCAGCTGGTTCATCGTCAATTCTTTCGGCCGTCGGAAATTGTTCCTCTCTGGAATGGCAACTCTCACCACTCTGCTCCTGCTCATCGGCATCATGGACGTCGTCCCCTCCACCGCAGCGAAATGGGTCCAAGCATCCTTCACAGTTATCTACGCTTTTGTATACTTTATGACCGTTGGGGCCATCTCGTTTGTCCTGTTAGGCGAGGTCTCGACCCCTTTGCTGCGCGCGAAGACCACAGCTTTGGCTACAGCCGTCCAGGCAGTTTTCGGCATCGCCATGAACGTTGCTGTTCCTTATATGGTTAATCCCGACGAAGCTAATATGAAAGGCAAGGTAGGTTTTGTGTTTGGTGGCTGTGCGGCGGTTGCTACGATTGTGAGCTGGGTGTATATCCCGGAGCTCAAGGGTCGGACTTTTGAGGAGATCGATATCATGTTCTCGACTCGGGTTCCGCCGAGGCACATGGGCTCGTACCAGATTGGCTGAAGTGGCATGGAAGGTTCGAAATGTAGTCTCAAGTTACCCTGTTTCAAGGCGCTCTGCTCTGGGACAGGGGTGTCGGTGCATATGGGATGCCTGTTCAGAGTTTCGGCGTCGGTAGCAGTCTACACATGCAAAGTGCGTACGGCTCAAGGTACTGAAGATTCTCTTGCAGAATAAACTTAGGATGTAATAAATACATGATATAGTAAAATCATACGAGAAACGAGTAATCTATACAAGATCCATACAGTCTATACTCAGACAACTCTAGGGATGGGCGAGATCGGCAACCAACCAACAACAGACAGATAGTATATCATATCACGCCCATGGCATACGGTCGATAGCTTTCCGCTTTGTAGAGCACATATGTACAATCAGGCTACATGTGGCGGAGTTGTTAGTTCGAACAGGGTAAACGGTGTTAACACTTAAGGCTAATTTTTGAACGACGACTCGTTCGGAGTTGTTGTTCCTGAATTGTCATTCTACCATACACCGGACGGATAATCGCGTTTAGCGGGTTTTGGACTGCCCCAAACCTCCAGACCTGGGGAAGTGGGCCATCCGACGGTTCCGACCCTTGTCGCGGAGTGTCGCAGAAGTTGACGCCTCCTCCTCTCAGCGCACGCGTCTAGTAACTTTAATCCTCGATAATTGTACTCTGGAATGCTTACACAAGTTACTACTGTGGTGGAGTCTCTGACCCGTCGGGGAGTGTCGGGATGTAGCTCAATTGGAGGACGAATTGAGCGAATGGATGTATTAAAGAGGATCACATATAAGATCACGATATTTATTGCTGTGTTTCTCGTCGATATTCTCCATAGAATAGTTCTCATATTCTCGTCTTAGCTAGTTGAGTAATCCCAATTCCTAGCCAAGTCCGATCCAGAAAATACTCTCGCCGGCCATCATGGGCTCATACGCAAACCAACATTCCTTCCTGCGTGTGTCTGGTACAGACATAGTCGACGGCCATGGCCGACCAGTCATCCTCAAAGGTGCCGCTATCGGAGGCTTCCTTAACATGGAGAACTTCATCACCGGATACCCAGGCCACGAGCATGAACACCGCGCGTCCATGGCATCTGTCCTAGGGAAAGAAAAAGCACAATACTTCTTCGACCGACTGCTACACCATTTCTTCACAGAAGAAGACGCCGAATTCTTTGCATCGTTGGGTCTGAATTGCATCCGGGTCCCCTTCAACTACAGACACTTCATGGACGACCAGGAGAACCCACCTGTCTTCAAGCAAGCTGGCTTCGACCTGCTCGACAGGGTGGTGGGAATCTGTCGCAAATATAACCTCTACGTCATCCTTGACCTCCATGCCGTTCCAGGTGGCCAGAACCAAGACTGGCATTGCGATAGCGGTCTCTCGCGCGCGCTGTTCTGGGACTTCAAAGTCTTTCAAGATCAAGTGATTGACCTTTGGGTTGCTATTGCGAAACACTATGCCAATGATCCCATTGTCGCGGGATACAACCCTCTCAATGAACCCGCCGATCCAGCACACGTTCGACTCCTGGACTGGTACGGCCGCGTGCATGCGGCCATCCACGCCGTTGATCCGAATCACATTCTCTTTCTCGACGGGAACACCTACTCGATGGACTTCTCTCACTTCGAAAGTATTCTCCCCAACGTGGTCTACTCCTGTCACGACTATGCAACGATGGGCTTCCCTATCCCTGGGCAGCCATTGTACACCGGCACAGCGGAGCAAAAAGCAAAGTTGAAATCCCAGTTCAATCGAAAAGTCCAGTTCATGCGTGACTGGGACGTCCCCATCTGGAACGGCGAGTTCGGTCCTGTCTACCCGGTTGCGCAGAGAGGCGAGAATGCGCAAGAGGTCCTACGGTCCCGCGTTGAGCTTCTCCGTGAGCAGCTGCGGATTTATGCGGACGCTAATGTCAGCTGGAGTATTTGGCTATACAAGGATATTGGGTATCAAGGGATGGTCTACGTCAATCCGGACACGCCGTATATGAAACTTATTGGCGAGTTCGTGGAGAAGAAGCAGCGCCTTGGTGTGGATTTCTGGGGTTGCACGGATAAGACGGGTGTCAGTCATGTGTATGAGCCGTTTATTGCGAAGCTGAAGGAGATGGTTCCCGTGCATCTTCATAAGAAGAAATATCCGCCGGTATGGACGTTTGATCGCCAGGTGGAGCGGGTGGTGAGAGAGTGTCTAGTCAGTGAATATCTAACCTGGGAGTTTGCGGAGTTGTTTGAGGGAAAGACCAAGGATGAGCTGGAAGAGCTGGCTGCTTCATTTGCGTTGAAAAACTGTGTGCAAAGGCAGGAGCTAAACCTGGTGCTTACTGAAGACGCTCATAGAACGAAAGCGTGATAAAATGGCCGAGGAAAGAAAGCAGAAGGGCTCGGGTGGTCAAAGTCAATGACAGTCAAATACCATGCATAGAAGAGCATTTATTATCGATTGCTTGCTGCTATGTCATAATACACCCTACATTCACACTTTTAAGCCCTCATGCTCAGCTGGTGACAGAGATTGGGCTGATAATCTCATTGCGGAGACCGCTTATTTGACCGAGCAAAAGGGGTGACACCTGCGCCTCATTCTCAAGCGCTGTGAGGAATCCGACTACTTGTTAGTTTTCATACACAAGCAACACGACTTTGAAAATGAATCAGACTGCCAATGATGCAGAGAAATTGAGTAATATGACACTCACATCGGTACAAGCAAAGAAGTTGGCATAACAGCGAATACCCTCATGTCTTGCTTCTCAAGAACTGGTTACAACCTTCTGGATATCATCAAGATTCGAAAGGTTGGCAGTCCGTAGGTACTCAGCAGAGACACAATCCTTTTCGTATGGTTCGAGAGTATGGTGTACTAGGGAATCATTAGAGCTGTCAGATGCAAGTGTAGCGCATTACTTATTGGAAAGTAACTACCTTAATGAACTCCTCAGGCCAACACATGGGCTTCCATCACCGACACCAGAGTGACAACTTGAGAAGAGTGTTCCAGGTTCATATCTGCGCCCTTGTCAGTTTTGAGGGCAACTCAGTTAACTTATATTCAAGTGCCTGGTCTAAAACTGCCATTCTTTAATTTCCAAGCCCGTATCTGTCCTGCTGGGTGGAGTAATGTGTTAGGTCTTGCATAATCTACCAACTTAGAGGTAGAACCACTCTCTGAATTCCCTTTGTTGACTCGTCACTGTAACATAAGACAGGCATGCCGACAGCAATCCAGGCCACATGGCCATCGCCCGGCAACAGACGTAACAGGGGCTCTGGTCTGTAATGATTCCACTTTTCTTCGGTACGCTCAACACAAAAGTAGTGTCCCAGCTCCACAAGACATGCTACACAGAACTCGGTACGTATCTATATCGTCCTTCGGAATCGTCAGTAAAGCATTATGATATTGAGAGAAAAAGGGGGGGGTGACTACGCCAATTCCCTTCGGCGACCCTATGAGGCCATGGACTTCTCGACGAGCCAGCTTGGTGTTTTTAAATGCTCAACCAAAGTTGTCATTGCACTATCCACTGTACGGAACATGTGACCGACCCAAGCTTCATCTCTATCGAAGAAGACTACCTATCAGTCTGCGACAGATCGTAGGATTTATCTAATATGCCTTCGGTCGTCTAGACGACTCTGTTAGAATGATATTGACACTTAGGGGGAAACAACACGTACAGTGGTGCATCACACGACGCTCCGCCCACATTTTGCATGAGATGGAATTTAATTGCAACTGACTCTGAGGGCCGGACCACGCGTTTTTGGTGGGACTGGGTGGCTGAGTCACACAAGATCAAGCAGCAAACAACATAAGGTCCTAGACACGTACTCTAGCTAGGAGCCACAAACTAGTGTTCTTTTATTATGATATTACTACTTGCACCTACAGTGCCTAGGCAGTAATATTAGCAGCAGTGGCTAGTCAGCAGGATTTTAGAGGGGAGGAGCTATGCTTTCCAGATATATAGTCTACCTCTTAATAATCTAGACAGACACCAGCGGTCAGTACACGCTGTGGTGTGGAATTCTGCATGGTTACTCTATGCATAATATAGCTATCCTTGCCAAGGCTCCATCTGTGTTGCAATCCTGCTCAGAATCATATACTGATATCATAATGACCCAATTGGGATTGTGTACAACAATCCTGGTCTTCAGCTAGGACGCGTAGCGATACGGTATGTTGCAGACAGCTTAAAGCATCAAGAACGAGTCAAATCATGGTTAGAATGCAGCGAATGGCCGTTTTACATTTTTTACAGGTTTTAGTGACAGTCTCAGCAACATTCTGCGTAATTATCTCCATAGTAGTGTTACTGGTGTAAGTGGTAGCAGCAGCCGGGCGTCTAGGAGATTTTTAATTATCCCTCGCTGAGGTCGACACAGCGGTTGATTCAATCAGATGACTTCTTTTATTTAGAATGTCCTATTTCCTCCACTTCAAAGGTCTTTAATACCTAATTAATCAGTATTTTCATATTTAATACTTACTTCTATCCCTTCTTATTAGAGGATATTGGAAGCGGATACTTAGGCTCTCAACGCCTACCCCTTGGAATCAAGAATGATCTGGATTTTAAATATGTCTAATTTGTCATTTACCGTTGAGTTTTACTAGTAAATTCTACTATATTTCGGACATGCGGTGACACTGTTAAATCTGTAGAGTTCTGATGTATATTTGGTGGTTTGATGAGGTGCGTATGCGGAGTTGCCAAAGGGGGTGGAATTGCCAAACCCTGTAATGATCTAGAACTCTTGAGTCTCTGATGCGAACCGTCCGCGAAGCCCCACTTAAGGTCGCCTGACGGAAAGCTTGTTAGCCATGTGGTCTCTGACAGGCTGACAGTCTGTTGGATGCTACCTACATAAACATCCAGGTCCCACTTGTAGATCAAATCTCTGAGGATATACTACAACAACAGTAATGCAAAAGATAGATGTTTCTCCTTGTTCTAATGTAGCCAACGTAATACATCCAGAGCATTATTGGTGCCATTAAAGCTAGCAAAATGAGGCCTATTTAATGGTACTAATTTTAAGGTCGGATGGGAAGGTTTTATGCATGGGTAGTAGGGTAAATGGTAGAGCTATCTCTCAGATGTAATTTCGCAAGCTGCAATTTCACCAGGATTAATATTCAATGAGCTAGATTAAATCAAGTTTTACCAGCAGTGCTATGTCAATATTGTGGAAAATCCAGCGTCAACAGTATTCACTTCGTCTCTCTTAAGTTTGATTTCATTTCCCCTTTTTTCCTTACTTAGGCATTAATACTTTGTTTCCTTACCTTCCTCTTCTCAATCCATTCCCTTTCCCTGCTCACTCAATTCAGATTTTTCCATTTTACTGCTTCTTCATTCTCTATCATTGTATTGCCAAGTTTTCCATATTTCATTTCATCATTAGTGGAAAGCCAACCATGGGAAAACGTCCGTCTCTGATGCAGATCAGTCAGCCGTCTTCGCAGAGATCCAAGAGGACCTAAACCAGACCGAAGTTCACAAGGCCTACCTTGGGACTATCGCCACCGACGTTCGCATCCTTGACACCAATGCCTATGAAAACCGAGAAATTGACCGCGACCATGTCGCAGCCCTTATTGAAGGGTTTAGGAGAGGCTGTCGTCGTTACTTCAAAGAAACAAGAATGAAGGCGACGATGTCGTCCTTTGATAAGGATGCTTATCTCCAACACTACGTTGACGGTCAGGGAGAGGGATCTGTTCATCAAGCCCGTGTTCGCGCAACCATTACAGACGGAGGAACTCTCATAGACTTTTTCTATCTGAAGAGTGGCCGGCGGACTTACCGGCCCCTTCACTGATTGCTGGTCAGCACAGAAGAGCTGCCCTAGTATCGCTTGTCGATGAACAGAGCAAGCTGGCTAGCTCTGGAGCCGCTAGCTCTGGAGCCGAAGCGCGCAGATGGACAGCCCTTGGAACCTCCAGAGCCTGAGGTAGTAGCGGCCACGAGACCTCAAATGTAATTCGAGCGAGATGGCTAACATAATCGGCTAGGCATGTTTTTGGGCTATCAACATTTATGATGCCGAACAAAACCAAAGGCAACATCCTTACGAGTCTACAAGGAAATAGAGATGACCGGTACAAAGTTGATACAAATGGGTACAACCTTCTGCGAATGCTGCACGACCTTAACACAATGGCAGACCAGGAACGGAAAGAAACGTTGAAGGGATCAAACTTTGTGCCCTGGGCTCAGAGCAATCTTGGCATCAAGGGGACCCAGACGGGCAGAGTTGTTTCAATCTTGAGAACCTCGTTTTGGTCCAGGCTGTTGGCGACATATGTCCAGAGCTCATATGGGCAGAAAGTTTTCAACTTCACCACAGCAGGCGAGATCTCCAATACAAAACTCGCATTTGTATGAATTGACCAATATTTCTTCTAATGTTACTTAATGATACCAGGCTAATGTACCAATTTTATAGTTTTGGCAACAAGAAATTGACCGCGTCATTAACTGGGGGAGCCTTATGTTTGGCAATACACGCACAACGTCAGTCGATTGGGAGACATTGATGCAGGTTACTGGTAAAGGAACTAAGCCAAATCTTCTCAGGCGTCTTCTTCCCCTCGAAGCAGGATCACGAAGACGGCGCTTTGAAAGGTGTCCTGCACTTCAATGAAAAGTGGTTTACTGAGTAATGAGATCATATTAAAAGACTACTGTGATTGTTAGCTGCTAGGCTTAGGATAATAGGCTAAAGGAGCTCCTACAGTCCCCTACTATTCAGGAGACACAGAAGGCCATAGGGCCTTAACAGTATAATAAAGCGTCTAGTAGTACCTCTTAGAGTAGCTTCATACAATCTACTATATAACAGAACCATGATACCATTGGCTGGGAGAGGCGATTATTGTAGTATTTGAAATAGTAATTACATCTTAAACATATTTATTAGTTGGTATATATCATTATTTAAGATATTATCAGCAACTCAGAAGGCAAAGTCTACAATAAGCTTCGTTCTCTGGGGATAAGATCTTAGTTGAATCACAAGGTAATTATACCTAGGGAAGATTTATTACCAGTCTGTGGGAAAACAACTAAACCCATTATAAAACTTAACTGACGCATATTAAACATTTATTATGTATCCTAAGGTAAGGTAGTCCTTATACACTATTATTCAAAGACATCAGGGCCAGCTTATTATAGGTCTTACTCAAATTAACAGGAGAAGACCTGGTATATCTTATAACAGTCAATTATGTAAATACCATCTTGTGATATAGTTAGAGAGATTCACTATATTTCTTAGCCTCCATATCTTTTGAGAAGCTTTAAAATAGACTTAGCTATGCTCTAAGCTAGTTACATTTAGCAGTGTAGATATAAGTTCTAATTTCCTCCATATCAGTTCTAATAACAGAGCTAAGAATTCACCACCCCCCTCAGCCCAGGTATTTTTGAGGAGCTTGGAAATAGACATTGAATGTGCTAGACTCCAGACAAACCATAATTTTACTTATCGTTTGCCAAGGTGGAGGCCGAGTAGTCCACACCTCAGCGTCTCTGACAGGCCGACAGTCTGATGGATGCTGTCGTGCCATCCCTACTGTGTTGACATCTACTGTGCTATCTCATCCCTACTAGCTAGAGACGCTTGTCTGGACACCTTTTGGCCTGAGTGGGGGATGTATGACAGATGCTAAGCACCGGGAGCCATGACGTCCACCAACGGTGGATCAACTGCTCAATCGTGGAATGGGCTCTCAACGGCCTCATCAATAGTGCCGAAGCAGACCTCTTATGGAGTGGAGCGGGAACAAGTATGTATTTTCTACTTTAGTTATGGCGTTGGACTAACAATATGCAATAACTTAGCATTTGATAATTTCACTGGTCTTCACCAAGGATCAGTCAAGGGACCTGATCATTTCCTGCGTGCGGACACCGACCCTGAGCCTCGGATTGTTGTGGAATCCAGTTGGAGTGAACCATTTCCACATTTACAGAATGATAAAAATCTACGGATTAGAGGCAATGCGTCTGTTATCCTAGTAATACTGCTCAAATGCTCTGCATTATCATACAGCAGAATCAAAGGCACCGCAGAAATTTGGCGTCGAGATACTACTGGCAACCTTTTTTCGACCACTATGGTAATCATGCACTTACATCCACGACGCGATTCTCAACCGGAAGCTGACATTCATTAGGCTATCTTCCCAGCACCGGCACCTTTGCCTCAGAACGAGTTGAATACAACTCAAGAAAGGGGAGTTATTCGGACCAGCGCTGTTACCAGGTCAAGCATCAGGTACTGTACTTCACCTGGATATTGTTAAACTTTGGAACTTTGCGTCTGAAGTGATTGGGGCTATGGGAATACAACCTGCATAAACACAGATCCGATCAGGTAGACTTTTCATGTATGAACTGAATGCAATTACTTTGTTTGCTCCAGTATATGTCTTATCTCTTCAAATGCGAACGTGAGCTCGGATGGAAACATTCGTGGCCCGCTTCGGAGGAATCCCCCAAGTCATTCTTTGGAGGCGAATTTCTGATTTCTCACACCAGACGACGGATTTTTCATAATATTTCCGATACCGACAACTATTTGCAAGAATTCCCACTAAGCAAGTAGGATCTTTGCTTGCGTTTTCGATGAGATACTCCCTAACCGCTGCCCTCTTCAAGATCAAAGCCACACATTAGCTAGTTAGTAGTTAACTGGGTGACCATCAGTAAATCCAGGCAGTTATATATATGTTTTTTTATTTCATTTTATTTGTTGGGCTTGGTTAGCCTAAATTTTATGACCTTCCTATGGAGCATGTCTTAGATGTCTTAGGAACCTATATTAATGGTCCCTAGGCTTGAACATACAGTCTGATTTATTAGGTCATTCATATCTCTAGATTGCTAATCAACACATTATCTCATTATTCTCACTACTAGTAACCAACTAGGTGGTGAAGGTAAAGTAGTCATAGTAGTGAGTTTACCTTCTGTGTAAACTATATTATGCCTTCACTGGTTAAATTCACCTGCTTAATCTCATTCTTTCACTAAATTCACAGCCCATCAACATTACCTTATGTATTAAATTCTTAGGCCTCAATCTGAGGCCTTCTACCAACCTCTCAATCTAATTCTCTGCCCCATCTGTCATCCACACTTCTTCCTCGGCCAAGCCATGATGAATCCTGATCATAGTGATTCCCCAGTCCTAACAGGCAAATACCATCTCTCCGAAGGCGTTACTTCGACTACCATCAGCAGGACATACACGACCATGAAACAGCTCGAGGAAGCTGCCTATAGCGTTCTGGAGACTCTCCAGGCCAACGATTGCGACGGTAACCAATGGATTCTGGTTTTGGAACTCACCAAAGACGCGATTGAGCGATTAGACAATGACAAGGAGTGTCTTGGTGGGGTCGACTTTCGTTTCGAGTGGGAGGGAGCTACTGGCCTAATCAAAGTGATCCCATCGGCTACCCACGACTCCCTAATCAATGATTTCACCTTGAAGGTCGGCTCTGACCTCCAAAATATGGGCATCCACTGGACGGACCGACGCTGGATAGGGACTACTACATACAGACAAGCCAACAAGGGAAAGCAAGGCGACCAGGCATTCACTCCCCCATCGCGGCAAGTGGCCAAGGGGGAGACGCAAGGATGGCCAACTCTAGTCCTCGAAGTAGGAGTCTCAGAGTCCATGGCCAAGCTGCGTTCCAATGCCAAATTCTGGTTTAACAATTCCGATGGCCAAACCAGGTTCGTCATTCTCGTCAGTGCTTCAAGGGCCCGGGTGACGTTCGAAAAATGGATGCTGATGCCGCCTAATGCCCCGAACCCGGCATCCCCCGCGTACGTCGCCGCACTTCGCTCACGACCCCTCCACAGTCCTCCTCTAGTAAATCAGCCAGCTGCTAGCCAGCAGCTTTACTCGGCCCAAGAGGTCGTCGTTACCCAAACCTGGATGACCGGCGCCCCGATGATTTTGCCCTTCCGGGCCCTGTATGACAGGGCACCAGGACCGAATGAGAGCGATATTACCATTACCGCCCAGGACTTTAGGGCATTCGTCCAGACTATTTTCTGAGACCCTCCATCAAGTGGCTGGCCCCTTCCATTGCAACAAAGGCAGCCACTCTTTGAAAGTAGTGCTTACGGAGTCGGAGGCTAGAGATATATGAATGGCTGTTTCTCATCTATGGACATCAGAAAGGGGGTTTTCCAGCAGCCCATCCTAGAAACGGATAGATGGAAAACGGCCTTCGTCACCGCCCATCGAGGCCTCGAACGGTTGAAAGTTTCCACGATGGGGCTAGCCACAACTCCCTCGTTCTTCCAGCAACGAATGGAGAACATAGTACGGCCAGAAGCTCATGTCCAAATATCAGATTTCCAGCATAGATTCATCCAGAATCCTAATCACCCCACAGCAGGCTAGTTGAGACCCCTACTTGGAATATCTTTGACCTGACCACTCCAACTGAATGTCCGCAAACGTTGTCCATGTTAACAATCATATAATGCCGAGCTGGTTATTCCCTCTAAACTAGTTACCCCCTTCAGCGCGGTTTGAAATAGCAATTATGGTAACTCTCATATTAGGAAGGGAAAGGCTTTGCATTCAACAACACAGCAACATGTTATACTGATGAAATCAAAGATTCTGGGATGTCACATGATTATCACCATACTGGATACGTTCGCTTAGATGCCTCCGGCCTCGTTTAATCGGAACGGTTAACATAGGCTGGAACTGAGATAGTAGCACCTTAATTCTAGTGGTCGCATCTGGCCCCAAAATCCGGCGCCATTCCACTTAAAGACGCAAAAGAGATCAATATTAACGCACAACTCTCTGGCTTCCACCGCCACTCATTACATGAAATCTTGATCATCGGGTAGAAAAAGCCACTGCACTTCTCATAGCTTTTATAGACGCAGTTTACTGGAAATTACAATATCGCAGAATGTTCTATCCGTGTCATGCCATCATCCATACTGATTTGAATGCTCAAATAGCTGGACAAACGATGTAACCCTGTGGCTTATATTGACTAGTCACTAGCGAAGTAGTGCTTATCAGGGCCTTTTATCCTGGTCGCAACTCAGAAGGCGTGATTCTGCTCAGGGAAGAGTTATGGAGGAGGCTTGGAGGCTTAGAGGCTTAGAGGCTAGCTTATAAATCTATCGATATTAACGTACGAGACAATAACAGGGCCCGAGGCCCCGAGGTTCGAGACTCATTCCATCCTATTCCAAAAATGGAATATGCGTCTATCTCCGATCTTGTTGCCTAATTACGCCGCTAAACATGATTATTGAAGCTCACTGGATCAAACTCCTAACGCGGACCTAGATTGATTGCATATATCTTGTTGAAGATCTCCAGACAATTTGTTTCTCATCATTTGATTTACGACGCATTTCTCGAATTTCGAAGGTCAGCAAGATTCAAGGTAGCACTGAGGCGCTGGGTCGTGACGTGATTGGGTGAGGCTGTATGATAGAACAGATGGAACCCGTCAGATCCGACTGAATCAGGAACAGGTGGGTAAGGTAGCTGCAAGGTGGGGCGGCTTTAATTAGTACACTTGGCCAATCACAATCGAGATTGTTGATTAGAGCCCAAGTTAAGCCAGTAGAATTGCAAGAAACAGACCCATCAAGTCTATGACTGGCCAGGAATTTCGTTGCCGGGGTGTTATTGCACCAATAGATTGACGCCAGCTGTGGGGGCGCCACTTAGCGGGTGCGGCGTTGCTTTTCCAAATATTTTTTTTCGCTGGTGCTACGCAGCTTACAAGTATTACGCAGTAGACTAGCCTAAGGCAAGGCAAAGGCGGTTACCTAGCTGGTGTTGAGAAAGATGAAAATGCTGGCTCGAATTTGGCCCTGCAATGGCAAGATGAATATGGCGATGACACCTCGCATAAGCGCCAGTTGACCTGTCTTCCTTCCTTTGAATTTTCTTTCAGTGGAATCGGTGGACGTCTCCTGTCCGCAGCATCGTCTTCTCATTTGGCCCTACTATGAAGCAGACACTTGCGCAGAAGACAGATTTAATGTCAAAACGACGGCTGTCCAGATGGCCGGCCCGCCGGACAGCAGTCACAACTTGCACCGCGCTGATCTGTCTGTGGCTCTTCACTGCGATGTTGTATCGGCGGGGAGATTTCGAGCTGGAGCCTGACGGTGAGTTTGCATCCCTTGCCAAGTAGGCAGCCACAACTGACTGGCTAGAATTCGAGCAAAACCACCATTCCGTCACGCAGCAACTCGCCGACATCACCAAGACATACTCATCTAACAGCACTATCGCGCTGGTACTAGCCGCGACACAATCGGAAGATCTCACCTGGCTGCTGAATTACTGCCGTGATCAGTACGTCATACTCGTCCCTCCGCTTCCTCCAAACCAAGCCATATGCTGATACTAGACAAAACAGCGACGCCATCCCCTTCATCTACACCACCGACCACAAACCCGCCCCGCACCTCCTCGTCCCACACACCAGCCGCGGCCGCGAAGCAGCCGCCTACCTCTCCTACGTCGTCGACTTCTACGACCAACTTCCCCCCTACACCATCTTCATCCACTCTAACCAAGACCAATGGCACAACGACCTCTTCGGCCCCAAAACCAGCGTCGCGCTGCGCAATCTCCGCCTCGAGGCCGTCGCCGCACAGGGCTACGTCAATCTCCGCTGCGAGCACGACCCAGGCTGTCCGACAAATGTGCACCCCTGGTCCCCGACTCAGATCGATATCGACAAGAAGGATATCCGCGCGTACTTTCCCCAGGTGTACCAGACGCTGTTTGGAGTTGGCAAGGAGCGCGTCCCCGAGCATATCGGGAATGTCTGCTGCGGGCAGTTTGCCGTCACCAGGGAGCGGATCCTGCAGCGGCCGAAGCGGGACTATGAGCGGATGCTGGCGTGGGCGGCGGAAACGGACCTGACGGATAGCTTTGGGGTAGGGTGGGTGTTTGAGAAAGTCTGGCATGTGGTGTTTGGTATGGAGGATATCTATTGTCCGCGCTTTGAGCAGTGTCGATGTGATGTGTATGGGTGGTGTGGGCCGTTGGCGAATGGGGAAACACTGCAGGCAGTGAGGGTGAAGTCCTAGGGTTTCATGTATATTGCTGGATATGACCGTATAGACGATTTGGGATATTTCACGTACTCGAAACGGCATATAGCGTTCGTCATATTAATGTTAGCGTCGAAGAATGACTGGGATTCAGGGTAATATCCACTTCGTTAAGAGTTTCCACCTGGCAATACAATCTGTAAATTTATTGTCTACTTGGCATACAACTATGGACATGTCATAATCAATCATTATTCGTGGTGGATAGGCTGCTGGTGATTGCTCATTCCGCCTCCGTCCAGCTCATATACAGGTGTCTGCGGCCTTGTTCGACCGGTCCCCACCTCGTATACATTCCCGCTGTCTAGCATCGGAACATCCATTTCTGGCTGTGGAGGTCGTGGCGCTGGGGGTGGGATATGATGTAAAAATAGCGTGGGATCGGATGTGACTCTTCGGTTGGACGCAGAAGCCGAGAACACTGATGGATCGGACCCAGGAAGTAATGATACAGGAACCGACATTCTCTCGGATCCGGGGAGCAAGGATGCTGGAACCGAAGATCTCGCGTCTGCGGCTGGTGGTGGGGACAGTGGTTTTCGGGGGATACTCCTCTCCACGTCCCCTTGGGGCGGCGTGAAATCTGAGGTGGGCTTTTCTGTGTTGGTTGTGAGGCCGGTGGGAGCTAGTGTTGGGGGCGTGGCAACCTCTGGTACTGTCTTTTCTGTCCGTCGATTCTGCTGGCGCTTCCGTCGGCGGATGAACAGCCAAAGGAAGAAGAGAATCAGCAGGACGACGATCACCACTGCCACGGCGATTCCGGCCTTCGCACCCGTGCTGAGTCCATCACTGCTGGACGAATGGTTGCTTTTGCCGGTCGTGCATGAGTACGAGCTTTGGAATACTCTGTCGTCTCCAGACCGTTGACTATCCAAACTTGAGCAGTTGAAGGTGCCTGAGCTATGGATCGTTGTCGGTCCTCGGACTGTGTCAAGGTTCGAGAGTGAGATCCTACGGCTCGTCAGATCTGTGCGAAGTACAGGGGAATATACCTGAACGAACCGATTGAAATCACCGGAGACGGTCAAGCCCCCTCTGACCTCATCCAGGTCACTCAACGGTAAATCTTTCAGATTCCGATTGTTCTCCACTTTGATGTCTCCTCCCACAGTCTGTAAGTTGGACATTGAGATTTGATTGAGCGCATCATTGTTCGCCACGGTCAATGTTCCAGTGATGGTCTTCAGGTCCGACGCTATCAAGGAACTGAGGTTCAAAGCTCCGTCAGCCGTGAGAGGGCCCTGGATTGTCTGGACTCCGTGGAGGTTGATAGTCCCGCTTGCAGAGTTGTCTATGGTCACAGTACCGCGGATGCTTTGACAGGAGGCGATCGAGTCTGCATCGGCTTGGGATGCAATGTTTACATTGGTGTTGCCTGGTCGCTTAGCAGTGATCAAGTGAGGACACACATTTCAACTCACATCTCGGGTTGGAATCGGACTCTCCGTCATCATCGGCTGCAACGCGCCGCAGCGCTAAGAGCAGACAGAAGAAAAGCGGCCTCATCTGGTATGCCTCAGCGACGGGATATCAGATCTCGAAAATTTCAAAGGCATCATGAAAAAAATTACAAATCATTTAATGGGAAAGCTGGCATAGATAACCGTCCTGAAGAACAACAACCCAATGCAGGCCCTGACACCGGGTGTGGCTGAGCCCATGCTCTTGAGGGATTGGCACTACGGACATGCTGGCTTTTTGCACAGATCTCATAGGCCCGCGGATTGATGGAATTCAGTTTGACGCGAGTCGGGTGTAGATCAGCGGTTGTTAATTAAAGACAGGTTAGACCACACTAGTTCCTCTCAGGGTCCGCTCGTCCCGGTTCCAACTTTCCACCTTGTAGTCGATGCGGGGTCATATTCGCCGAGAATTATGCTGATGCCTGATCCTTGAGTTGCATTGCCATTGAGCAATATTCGATGAAGTCGATCTGCAATGATCTTGTGTTCCCCTCTCGCCGGGTACCTGTGTGACTCCACAACAAATGTATCTCTCTCAGCCTACCAGAGTATCTCGTCAAGACACTGCGCCGGGCCATTTCGGTGCCGAGTCTGGCCTGTGTATTTCAATCCAGAACGCATGGTAGGAGACAAATAGACAGTACTAGATATAGTGCTGAAGAGATTCTCAAATTATTCAACAAATGAGCTAGTCAACAGAAGGCACTTTATGAGGACTGCTTCTCATGGATCCGAGTTGAGTTGTATTCACGATTGAGCAACGCATATCCTTGACCTGTCTGGCGCTATTAATAGCAAGAGGGTAGAGGAACAGCTGTGCCGAGAATGTCGATGGAGAGGGAATCAGGCCAACAGGCTGACAGGCAACAGAATTGTCAACCCTCCGTTCATCGGCTACTATAAATTGGAGTGCTGATGCTCATATTCCTGCATGGGTTATCATCAGTAGAATCCGACCATGTCACAATGATGATACTGTCTTTTGTAAGGTAGTGTAGGGGAGTCAATCTTGATAACTGCCTGGAACACAATTGCTGTGGACAGTTCTTCACTACTCTGTAAGTCTGTAGTCTTCAGTGACAGCAAATTACTAGAGGTGGTATAGCATTCCTATTCATAAAACAGCATGTTAGCTAAGGCTTAACATCGCAGTGCATGGTCTATAAAGCTTCCTCCTTGCCCACTTGAAATTATGGCTAACTTTTGTTATTATTTTTCCCACCCTTTCACAGCCCTCTAACTCAGGTACTTAAGGCATTTTTACCATTAAACTGAACTTCCTATATTCTACACTTCGCCACCTCCTTTTATACCTGGGAGTTATTACTTATTACATCTGCTAAATGTCCTTACTTTTTGTAAGAATACTTTCTACTTGCCTGGGAGCTTAACTGACTACTGATTCTTCTTTTTAAAGACAATACAGCATAAATTACATAAAAGTAATATGTTCAGACTTTTCTAAGTGAACAAACAAAATTTCTCCCTCCTATACCTGACATAGAGAAGTCATCAGTAGAGAAGGGTTCTGAGTTGCATTCCGTTATATATAATAGCATGCTGGGCTAGAGAATTGTCTGTGCAGTTCAACAAACAAGGTATCCTCCATCAATGCGCCCTCTTTATGAGGGCGATTCATGCCCTGGTTCAAGAGCGCAAAAACTGAACTATTCCTCCTCCAGCCCTAAGTTCAAAATGGGATCTACGCCCCCAGAGATTTTGCTTAATATACTCAAGAGACTTGACCTAAAAGTCATTTTCAATTTTTCCTTTTGGTTTCAAGAAAAATGCGAAGTCTAAGCCATCCTTTGCTTATTCGAACACTATGACCTTAGGTCTTCTGAAGGTATATCTAAACTGCGGAGCATTTAATGCTACTGAGGGCATTATCCAAGTTAACCCTCTCCCCAGCTTGATTAGGAAGGGAATTGAAATGGGACCATGTTCCAGCGGCCAACTTGACTGTCCAATACTTGCTCACACGAGGACAGCCAACGTCCCTGTCCAGTATTAGCCCCCAAACGATACTAGCTTGAACGTTGGAGACATACCTAAAAAGCTGGCAGGTGTATCCTTCTGGGACTAACATGGAAGAAACCTGGTCGTTTCTAACAAAACCAGACATGTGAGCTTGAGCTTCAATGAAGGGATGATTCTTAAGGTGCTCACAAACTACTCAGCTGTCCAGTAAAAGATATGCACTCCTTGACAACTGGGAGGACCGCGCAACTTTGGAGACCGAAACCCGCGCATACTCTCATGAGATCGAGTGCATTTGCAACAGACGCTGAGAGAAGGACAACAGGTACAAGGGAACGCATTTTGTTTATTGTAGGTTCAATAACGGTAACTGCATTAAGGTAGATGAGATACTTGGTCAACGCTAGGAGCAGAAACAGTTTTTATATAATACTCCACGGCATTCTATTATGGACTCGCAAATGGAGAGCTAAACTTCTCCACTCAGCTGCAGATATGAGATGTCTCTGAGCCAACACACTACTCATGAGTGGTGGCGAGCTGAAAAAACTGAAGGCAAACACTTTTATGCAGACTCAGCCAGCCGCACCAGAACATGCATTTTCCCAATGACCTGCTGTTTGCTATGAGGAGGAATATGGACCATGCAGATAATACCGGGTAGCATGTGAGCTGGAATTCACTGTTGTGACTGAAACGGAGAAATAAAGCAACTGGATGATCCAGGCATAGTTTGTGCAAGTGCAGTCAGGAGAGGGGTGTTTTCACCCCACCTATATAAGAATTAAGAACAATGTGCATCGGGTGGCTGGCAGAGCGCGAGAACAAAAGTATACTTAGGCAGGACTTACACACCTGGTTGGCTGGACGCAAGTCGCGCGCTGAAAATAGTAGAAAGCATTCTTCAGCTCTATTAACAATAACATCTAACTTGCACCGCGCGAGAACGAACATTTTTCCTTGAGGAAATAGGGGCCGGCTGTCAGTCCAGTCTCACTTGAGATAAAACTGCGCTGTGAAAAGGGATATAAGGTTGAGATCGGGCTTGCCTGTCTAGATTTCATTTCCTTCTGCTTCACTTTCTGGAGTTTGAATACTCTTGTATTGCACAGCAATTTGTGTCCTAGATATGTTGAGCAAAGCATCATCATACTGGTCTGACCCACGATGTTTATGTGATCTTGTGGTCGCCACCACTCAAGCCAGCATCAACTCGGGACTACTGGAGCACCTAAATGAGGAAGACTAGCTGATCTAGCATCTATGCTTTGAGTAAGATGAACGCGGCTACGGTCCTAATGAGCCGTCCCAAATTACTTCCTTCATGTTAGAGATGGCTCCAGTCTGATCCCGGCTATTGTCCGACATGTATCCCACTGTTCGGCTCCACAGTGATGACAGCGGCTTCGGGATTACCGGACATAAAACAACGTTTAAGAAGGATTGAGAACGTAATGTATGAAGGTAAATCGCGTCTTCGCTCACTGGAAAATTTTTTGGTCTCGGAGACACGACAATAACTGAGAAATCTGATCAGCTATCCATATACAACATGGCGTATTCTCCAAACGCGGACCTGAAGATCGTCTTCGGGGCAATGACATTCGGCAAGCCTGGTCAGCCCTTAGCTAGACATCTCATTGATCTTCCTGGTCTTCTCACTGACGGCCATTTAGGGACTCTGGGCGCTCGTGTGCATAGCACAGACGACGCCGGTCAAATGCTCGACATTTTCCAAGACCATGGCCACAGGGAAATCGACACCGCCCGACTGTATGCGCCGGCTCCTCCGAGAAAATGCTCACGGCCCTGGACTGGAAAGGTCGAAAGCTGGTGATGGGGACGAAGCTGTACCCGAACTATGTGTGGACCAGCAATGCGCCGGTAATCTACTCCCACCGCCCGGAAGATGTGCGCCGCGGTCTGATCAACAGCCTGCGGGCGCTGGACACCGACAAATTTGACCTGTTCTATCTCCACGGGCCAGACCGGAAGACGCCGTTCGAGGATACTCTGCGGGAGGTGAATGCCTTGTACGAGGAAGTGCTGTTCAACCGCTTTGGCGTCAGCAACTATATGTCTTGGGAGGTCGCGCAGATGTGCGAGATCTGCGCGAAGCACGGCTGGATCAAACCCAGCGTCTACCAGGGGATCTACAGCGCGCTGCAGCGCAGTATTGAGCCCGAGCTGATCCCGTGTTTGCGGTATTACGGGATCTCGCTGTATGCGTTTCAACCACTGGCAGGTGGCTTTCTCACGGGGCGGTATCACCGCAACCAGACCGAGTTCGAATCAGGGTCGCGATTCGATCCTAAAGGTGTTCAGGGCTCATTGCGCCATGCACGATACTGGAACGATGCCTATTTTGACGCTTTGGATCGAATCCGCTCTGCTGCCGAAAAACATGGTCTCTCGGTCGGTGAGGTCGCGATGCGGTGGCTGAAACACCACTCGCAGCTAGCGGCGGCGCTCGGTGACTCCATCATTATTGGGGCAAGCAGTGCTTCCCATTTGACTCAAAATCTGAAGGATCTTGAGTGTGGGCCGTTGGCGGAAGATGTCGTGACGGCGGTTGAGGAGGCTTGGTTGTGTGTCAAGGGCGTTGCTCCCAAGTACTGGCATTAGTACATTGCATTATTCGAACCAGTCTAGGCTTAATATCATTACATCCTACTTCGCTGTATTTAAGTCAATTACGGACCTTTATTAGCGTAAGGGACGTAGAACAACAGCTACCGAAAGGTGTCAGGATTTATAAGGATTAGGCTACCGGCCAACGAAGCTTCACAAGACTCGAAAATGAAAAGTCACTATGGTAGTTGCCCGGGAAGATGTTTAACCCATGATAGGCCCAGAGCTCCATCAGACCCAGTCTCAATCGGTTAGGTTGGATGTGGATAGATGACAGATGCGTGCAAGATTTGCACAGAGTTACCGGCACCAAGTTGGCTGTGCAACCACGCGTAGCTGGCGTCGAAGATGTTCTTGCAGTTTTTGGACAGCTCCATGTGTCTGGGTGAGCCTATCTAAAGCGGTTGGTTACAGCAACTTGAAGAATCCTCGCCATAGCCCATTAGAGGTAAAAACGCCCATAGGATCAATACTGCGCTGAATTTCGATCAGGCGGCGCTTGTTTCGTTCTCCATATGAAGAAAATACGTCTTGACCCTTGTCCGCGTAATTTACGTAGACAAAGGGGTGATAAAGACCAAGCTCCCTAGCGGCAACCTGGTACCTCTGGAGAAATCTAGCAGCAAAAAGCTGCACTTGTTCATCATCCGCCTCATGGGCCCAGGCGAGAGAGAGGTTGTTCACTACACCTTTGTCAGCTGCATATAATGGGCCAGTCAATCTGTTACGGCTTACGTATGAGATGTCCTTTAACATTGATGCCAAGAGCATTCCCACCCCTCTCTTTCATGCGGCTCACAGCACGCGCCGGGATTGAGTACGAAATGAGATTTGCGGAAAAGCCTGTTATGTTTGCCACACTCTGCACTTCCTGTCTGAGAATGTGGAAAGCTCTCTTGCTCAATACTGGCGAAGGATAGTGAGTTATGGTGTTGAAGAGGTACCTAAACTTACGTCAGCGTATAGCAGGTTGCACTTTGCCGTTTTGTATACCTGGATCTCCCTAGAGGTGCATTGCTCCTTGCAAAGGAGGCGAGAGTCCCAACGCCACCTGATTCTGACTGGAACGGAATCCGACTCAGTCTCTCAAATTCAGGGGGATTCCGTACTGGCTGAGCATATCTCTGGGTCCCCCTCAACGAGAATCGATCCTGCTGTGGGATATAGGTGAAAACAAACTCGAAGCCAACTTGAGGGTTCGTATCTTGCACCCTGAATATGTCGAATGCCTCTTTGAGGAAGATATCAGTCACGTTAGGGTCGTAGGACCTGTCCAAGTCAAGCACTGGGCCCTGCGCAAAGACCCGCAACTGGAAATAAGTAACGATTCCAAAGTTGTTGGCACCACCACGCAGAGCGAAGTAGAGGTCTGGATGTTGGTCCTCGTTCACCGTAATCACTGTGGCATTTGGCAATACGACCTGTACATCGTTAGAATACAGTGACCATTTCACTTGGTCGAATAATTAGACAAACTTCATATTCAAAAAGATTATCCAATGCCCATCCATATTCTGCTGTAACAGCCGAAGTGCCACCCCCCAAGGTGAAGCCACCAACACCTACTGTCCCTGTTCGGGGCCCAACAAAAGCTAATCCGTACGGCTCCAAGGCATCGTAGACTTGGGATCCTGTTGCTCCTGCTCCTACTCGCATTCTGGAACTGTTGCTTAAGAGCTCAACTGTGTTGAGTCTGTTCAGGTCGATTACTTGTGACACCCCCAACCGAGTTTGAGTCATCTGGATATCTTGAATGTCCGCCCCCCTTGACGGCAAACCTGCACCATTCGTTGACAAGAAGCGATAGGACTGCGGCGACGTCGGCAGAGCTTTCTGGTACAATTCGGCAAGCATAGCGGACTTCGTTTTGCTTTGCATCCCAGAGAACAAAACCAGAATCGTTGTTTGGATAATGAAGGGCGTCTCCAAATTGTGAGTGGAGAATGCCGCACTGGACTCCATTAGATACGTCGACCTTTCTTTTTCAAGTGGTGGTCATACCGCACGTTCGCAGCTGCCAGAGGAAAGGGCATTGGCCTGTTCCTCGAACCCATGAACAGCTGCATGAGTGAGGATGCCGAGTAGGATGGAGAACAACGAACACAAAGCCATTTCCAGTTGGTAAACGCTGGATTGTTCCGTGACTGGTAATGAAGTTCACATACGCGGTGACGCTTTATATAGCATCTGCTGCTAGGGCGCCAGTCTTAACAGCGGCCTTTAATAACCAGGGTTTACTTCTAGTGGCAGCATTTCCCCTCACAGCAATCACTCAATTGACTGTTCAACAGACATACAAATTCCATCACCTAGGCTTGACTTCACTGGCAACTTGAGAGGGGAGGGGGGGGAGAATAGGATTCTGGAGCCAAGAGTGATGCAGTCACTTTAGGAGTGTTCCATGGATTCAGTTGAAGTGCCTCTGCAATCTGCTGACAGGGATCGACATGCCAGACGGAGTTATAGGTGGGACTTGGGCATTAACGGCTTCTATCTTTTGCATAGTAGAATCCAACAGTGTCTTGGCAACCATTCCGCCATTCAGACCCATGACGCCAAGGCAGCCCGTTTTCACCGACTGCTGATTGTGTATTGAAAGCTGGCGTAACAGGGCCCACAGTATCTTGGGTATTTAACCTTGATTCCCGCCGTCCCTCTGCTTGGCGCCGATCACTGATCACTGATCACTAGACGAAGCGGCGGTACACCCGTAAGCTAGGGCCGATAACTCCGAGCGAAGTATATTCTGCTACAAGGTCGAAGATACCCAAGATAAGAGCTTTTTCCCCTTTTTACCCCCTGCTTCAAGTTCAGTCCTTACAAACTAGCTGATTACAACACGTCTGCGGAGGTCACCTGCTTCTGGAGGTATGCTTCCAATCCAACTCTTTCCACTTTTCTCTGCCATTGGGTGTCTGGCTCGTCCCCTGATCCCTTTCGGCGAAATCCATAGCCCTTTTACCCCAACTCTTCGCAGAGTTTCTCAGTTTCCGTTAGGTACATGGGTTGAGAATATCGCGGTCCGACCAAACGGTCACTTGCTGATCACTCTCACCTCTGCCCCGGAGATCTATGAAATCGATCCATTCAGTGTCACATCAGCCAATGACACCCGACCTGCCTTCTCTTTTGATGGCTACTCCAACGTCACTGGACTTACTGAGATTGAGACGGACATTTTCGTCACCTGTGTTGATGGTAGATACGTCTGGAAATTGGACTTTAGCATGGGCAACACACCGCAGGCGTCCCTCGTCACAATGATACCAGACGCGCAGCTTCTCAACGGGGTAGCCACATTAAATTCTGCCAAGGGAATAGTTGTCATTGCGGATTCAAGCGGAGGCTGCATCTGGCGTGTTGATATCAACACCGGCGAATACGAAGTTATCCTCAAGGATGGCACAATGCATCCGGAACCTATATTGGGTCTCAACTTGGGGATCAATGGATTGAAAGTGCTTGGCAATACCATCTACTACACTAATACGCCAAAGCAGCTCTTTTGTCGAGTGCAGGTTGACCCAATTTCTGCCCGTGCGACGGGTCCGATTGACGTCATTAGCGATACTATTGAGGCGGATGATTTCGCCATTACTTCGTCTGGGGTCGCATATTTGGCCACGATATATCAGAATGCGATTACAAAGGTTCCCCCTGCTGGGAGAAGCGAAATAGTTACAGCGAGCTTGAACTCTAGCTCTATTCGCAACCCCACGTCTGCAGCATTCGGACGGACTATGGTGGACGCAAATGTACTCTACATCAGTTCTGGCGGAGGCCCTATTAACGGGTCTTTTGTAGAAGGTGGTGCGGTTGTAAGTATTGAGATCTGGTAAAGCGGGTTACCATAGTGTCCGAGACAGCATTCAGATAGGACTCAATGTATAGAGACCCGTGAATATAATTTTGTGGCCATTCTTCAACTCGCTCCCGAGTCGTCCCAAAACATCCCCCAATTCTCCGCTTCCAAAAGATTTCGGAGCTACGAGTGCAGAAAGTCTGCTAGCGTACGTTAAGATTCCCGGTTGGATATACAGAAGTACGAATCACCTAGCCTCGCACCAGATTGCTAAAAGTTGGGTTTTTCGCCAGAAGCTCTTTGACGAGCGTCTCGTCCACTTCCAGTCTGACTCAATTATGCAGAAACCGGCCTTCGCTTCAGTCTGCAGCTGGGCTACCCTAAGAGTTAAGAAAATGACATCGCGTGAATTGTAGAAGGAATACAGAGCACTAGGCCACAAGGAGGAAGAGCTCTGGACAAAGAGCCGACTCAGCAGACGTACCTCGACCAACCTTTGCAGAGCTGCTAGTCTACTCGCTTGGGTAAAAAGTCTCTAAAGCCGATAGCTCCGGAGTAATCCTGTGTATCCTACCACTAACATTCCGAGGAATCCTTTCCCCTGAACCGGAACAGGTAAGGCGATCTCCCCCATCCTATCCCAACTACTAGCGCCCTGTCAGCCATCAGATCCACTACGCCAAAAAGGTGTCTAGAGGACCATTTCTAGCATAGTAGAAATGATAAGGCTTATACTGGTTGACACGCCCCCATAAATATATCTGCCAGACTCTAATGCGAGTTGACTTACTGATGCTGCAGTGCCAAGATACAATGCACATAGCCAACAAAGGACAAAATGAAATCTTCCGTTTTCACTCTTCTCTTACTTTGGATAGTCTTGTCCCTCCGCAACGTCCATTCCCAAAGGTCGGACAGTCAGTCGACGGAGATGATCGGAGACTTAAGAGATGGAGCGACAACGGCTGTTGGCAGGCAAGTCCGGGACTGCATAACTGGTGCAGGACCCTGCGAAGATCAGAGAGTAAAGGTTTGCTGAAGTCTTCTTATGATGATTCCTATTTCTGTTTCCCTCTGGGCTGTTCCTTGGGTGCCTATTCTTTGCTAGCTTTCCCGGGCCCGCTCCAAGTAGCTAATACTACAACAGGCCTATACGCCCCCCGGTGAACTCGGGAGCACAAGATGCGCCGCTGACAACTGTTGTGTGTGGGAATATATCCAGAGGGACCTGGTTACACTTTTTCAAACCCCAAATGGGACTTGCAGTCGACTTGCCCTCTCTGCAGTGCGTCTAGGGTTCCATGATGCTGGGTCATGGCCCACGGAAAGCACATTTGGGGGCGCGGATGGCAGTCTGCTCCTCAGTTCTGAGGAGATTTCCCGTGCAGAAAATAATGGCCTTCGCGAAGTCAGATCAAAGGCGCTGGAGATCCTTGACAATTATTCTCCATATGGCGTCGGGGCAGCAGACCTGGTCCAATTTATGCATAATGTGGCCACAGTTGTGTGTCCACTTGGCCCTCGAATACTAACACTAATAGGGCGCAGTGATACCCAACGGGCTAACCCCCCGGGACTTGTTCCCGGTGACAATGCGACAGATGGCCAGTATCTCATTGAGCTCTTTCGGAACAAGACATTCAACCCAAGGGATCTCGCGGCATTGGTTGGCGCCCATACTGTTGGCCAGCAGTACTTCGTTGATCCATCTCGCGCTGGCCAGTCGCTTGATTCATCACCAGGCGTCTGGGACGTGAGATTTTACCGCGATTTCAGCTTGGCGAATCCTCCCCAGTAAGGAATCCCATCCCAGCCCTCCTGCTTACTTAAGGCCGAGGAGCACACAACAGTTGCATAAAAGGATCTTCCATCTACTAACCAACCTGTCACCCGTTAGTGATGTTTTCCGGCTACCGAGCGACGAAGCCTTGTCTCGGACAGATGGGACGTCCTCCCGCTTCGAGGCGTTCACAGTGAGCTTGCACCCACCCCCCAACTGAACGGCTGTAAGCTGACCCAGTTTCTTCTTGAATAACAGGATCAGACATTTGGACAGACAGTGTGGAATGCTGAATATGCCACTGCCTATGTCCGCCTTAGCCTTCTTGGCGTCAATAATATCAACCAGCTTACCGACTGTACAATGGTGCTCCCGAATGCTATTACAACCTTCTCGGTACCGAGCTCGACGTCGCCTCCCACCCCTTCCAAATCTGCCATATCAGTTAATTGTCGGAATATTGAAATACTTCTTATATTCTGGACTTGTTTTATTGTTACGCTCTATCTTACAGCATATTAAGAGAGAAATGGGCTCGAACGGTATATGCTTTTTCGCGGGAGAGGAGCTGCTTAGCAGCAGTTTAGTGCATGATTCAAGGAGTTATGTGATTAAAGGCTTCCTGAAGAAAGTAGTGGAAATTATATATGTACCTAGACGTACTTGGTTCTTAAAGGAAAACTGTGGGCTTCCTCTTTCGGACACCGCCTCTTCAGCAAGGACGTTCAAGGTCTGCACAGTGCAACCGAGTTACAGGATCTTCCAGCTTCCTGGTATCCCTATATAACAATGTTCTTCTATTGCCCTTATATTACCTAATCGATAATGCATGCATTCTTTCATACAAGGTTTCCCTTTTTCTTGATCTAAAAAGGTTTGATAGAAGACAGCCCTAACAGTCTGGAAGCAGGCTAGGTCTAGTCTCCTTTCGTGGTACTAGGTCTTCTAGGGCCGTAGCGATCCTGCTGTGTGCTAACGTGCTTCGAATTTAGAGCATCAGAATGTCACAAACGAATTCCACGGCGTCTGGCCGTCGTATATCTAAAATTGGTTGGCTTGGATCCGACCCAAGGGAGAGTAGAGTTCTCACAAGCTCCTTTTCGATATCGATTACGTCCCGTTCATGGTGATATGGAAGATCTGTCGGAGTCACGCTCGTAGGGCGGAGCGCGTAGTCGAGAAAGGGCCGGCCCTTTATACTCCTCGTGGATCGCGTTCAATAACATATGCAACATATTGGTGCAGGCGCGTCTGTATGGCCAGTGCAAGGAACGCGCCACGGAGAACAGTAATGCTAGCTCCGTTGGGGCAATCCCGCACGTTGGTCCTGTGATTGCGCTCATATCTTGCATGTATGGACATGACTCGGTCCAAGTTATCTAGAACGCCAAACAGACACAGGCTGGCCTGATCCAACTATTCCACCTCATAGGCGTGGTATAGGAGCTTATCAACCAGGCTGATGAGGCCATTACAGTGTAAGCAAAGTTGTTAGCATCGTACATCGGATATTGTTCAAGCATGGCCAGGATCATTTGTGTGTCTTCTTGCCATCAAAGCCAGGCGCTCTCCGCATATGACGCTCACATTCAATTTGTCCACAGTAACAACAGCTAGATTGAGATGGTCTTTTATACGGGCTGTCAGACTTTAAAAATCCAAAGTTGATGGTTGGATCCTGCTGCAATGCATTATTAATTGCCTTGCTGGCCTGGTATAGACTATATATTGATGGCAAGTAGGCCATTCTTCTGCAACCATGCTATTAAGGAGCTCTTTGCAATGGTATAGGGTGAGATATCTAGAATTTCACCATCTATCATGAATCATAGTCATTACCACTAAGAAATGCGACTTGCATGAAGCAAGCTTTGGATAATGCTATATGATATATCTATTTAAGTAGGCACTATGCCAGGTACTTTGCAAGTATTACAGTAAGATAGATAAATGAATCTTTCCTGAATTAGTATTTTCATGGGTTGGGCTGGGTTCTCCTATTCTACTAATCCAACGGTCCAACCCACTGGGTTTGGGTTTTAGAAACCCAAGGCCTAAACCAACCTATAGATCTGCAGGTTCTAGATGGCTTAACCTACTAGGTTTAGTTCCACTACAGGGGTAATTCTCTACCTACTAGATCTAGTTAGTATAGACTAGGTCTAGCCTATAAACTCACTAAGTAATATTTAATATATAAAATTATACTAAGATTTTAAAGAAATAATGAATATATAATAATAGAATCAGTATAATATAAAGTAAAATATTAAGTATTAAGTATCTACTCGTAGTTGAGCATCATTTCAATACCAAAGCTCCAGCAAACCACCCTTTATCTCTATCGATGGCTCAAATAGAACATAGCAGATGAAAGGGCGGCAAATACAGTAAGATTAACGTAAGGCTGATGAGTAGCAACGAACCCCCAACGAGGCTATTAGGCTTGTACAAATCGAGAGAGATGATATTGTGGAAGTGACGACAATCCTAATTCCGGTCAACACCATCTCAGTTCCTGAATTACGGGGTCAAGGAACCCAGACACTATCTTCGAGCAGGGCTTAAACTTGCACCAGATACTGTCAATGTCTGCCCGTGCCTGTCTTCGATCACAAAGTTATACCCTGCATTCAGTGCAGCTCCACCCAGCATCGCCACAACTGTCCAGAGAGCGCCGCAGTAATTGACTCGCATGCCGACATAACATGCTCCGCCACCGTTCTCCTAGTTAGGTCTTATTAAGTACTTATAGATACATAGAAATCAAGGGACCTTGAATAGTGCTTACTTGCATTTCGTGCGTGAAAAAGTAGTTGTGTGTATTTGTTCTTGAGTATGTGAAGCTATTGCGTGTGGCAGTAGGAGGCAGCTGGATATCAGGAAGTTGCACGTTTGATGAACTGTTCAATAGGCCCACAATTTGATGCCTGTATACGTTAGGTTAAAGATAGGAGAGGGGGTGAGTACTGAAGGGTTCAGGAAGTTAGAGGAAGGACCTCTTGCTTATATGCTTCTCCTTTAACCTCTTGAAATTCTTTGCAGTAGCACTATGTCTAATCATTTATTTGCAACGACTTAGGCTCCTCCACTTAGGCTGATGCTAAAGCCGCTGGGCCACCTCCTTATCTCTTCACACACCATCATTAGAACCCCTCATGTTTTCAATACGTGGCACCACTTGGATATTGTTTGTCTGAGATCATGGGGTGTTTTCCCATCTTCCCCGCTCTCAGCCTTGCATGCTACATACTCGATATGGCTGCCATGGGGCCGCCAATAGGAAACATATCGCAAATACTCTGTTTGCTGTAGATTGAGTGGTCCAAATCAAGATGGTATAAACAGATATTGATTGTAGGTGTTAGCTATGGGCAGATATGCCGTAACTGGGGCCGCTCACCAAGCATGAAACCAGAATTCAACCCGCCTGTCATTTAACGAAAATAACTGTGGATAAATTATAGATATGTTTCTTGACCCAGTCCATGCTGACTGCGAAACCTGGGCTAATAATAGTCCATAGGAATAACATACTCCAGAACGTCTGCCCAGGGCCTCTTGCTTCGCCTGTGCGAACCCAGCCTTTTGGGTGGACTCGAGTAATATCAGTCTCCCCGCCGCGCGCTGTCCCTGTAGTGGAACCACTGCATCATGTCAAGTTCGGATTTCAGGATGGCTTGGCAGTGATTTGATTGGAAAAGGCCATTTTTGTATGTATGTATTGAAATTAACTAACTTCATTATCACATATGTGCACCTTACGAGTTGGAAAGATACAGTATCGCGGATGACTTGGAGGCCGTTCCGACTAAGAGTCTAAGATGCCCTTAGCCTGTCTACCAGCTTCAAATCAGTGATCCTTCACTTCAGTATTGGCATCTGGTTCGTCGTCACGGTCATCAAAATCGATCAGCGCTGGGAGCTTCTGTTTAGCAGGTGGATTGGTTGTGGTTGGGTAAAGCTTATCACGGATTTTCTGCATCGCGGTCTTGATGGCGGCCATTTCGTGTCGACAATGTCTCTTGCGGGGCAATTTCACATTTCTAACCAGAACTCAGGATACATGCCTCTATTCTCTGGTAAATAGCGTAGCATCCATTTAAGATTAGAGGTTTAATACCGAACAGGCTATGCCGTCCTACTATTTGCATTAGTAGAGAAGGCTTACATCCCTGAATAGGATGGTAGGCATCTAATACACCTTATATATCCTATACTAATGATTATAGTGCAGGTATGGGTTTCCATCCTCTTAGCTATCTATAGAGCAGGGATTGCTATTAGTTTATATAGGTCTCTATAGGAGTACCTTTACTTAAGCTAATATGCAACCGACTAGTAATATAGATATAGTAGGTGGATAGGAGCATAACTCTAGGCTCTAGGATAAAGTGCTAGCATAGCTGCTAGGCCTATTATTAGTGGCTTAGTTTTCCTCTACTAGAGATTCTTTAGGATATACATAACAGTATTCATTATTCTTAGTGTTAGTTATCACGAAGGAAAACCTGCACTGTGCAATGGAGAAAGTCAACAGTCTACTGGACAAAGCAGTCTGCTGTTGTCATCTATACCCATGATCAACAGGTCGCCGCAGCGACTGGGAATGGAACAGATAGAAGCAGAAAAAAATCTGCTATCGTACTGCTTTCTATAACAAAGATATATCAAATAATAGATCCATGAGGCTACACCCCGGCTTTATATGTTCTTGTCTGCTTATCTTGTATATGTGCTGAATGTATGAAAGCGTCCTGATAACTATAACACACAGAATTAGGCCTAGCAAAAACTGGGTATAGCCTACCTAGAATATTTAAGGCACCAATACGCAGCGCGGAAAGACCACACATATCCATGGTCTTTCCACTGTCACCGGTAGTTACTCCGTAGTTGTAGCATAACTATTTATGCTAAATTGTATTGCTTACTAATCAATATAACACATCGGTGTCTTCCCCTCCAGTCAACAGACCCATCTTTGCTTTAACCACCTTTCTATCAGCAGCATGGACTACACCCGCATTATCCTCGCTCTCGCCGTCTACATCGGTAAGCACTCCCGCCCCTCTTGTCCTCGCTGCCCTTCTCACTAATCGATAGCCATCCGCCTTATCTACAACCGCTTCTTCTCCAGCCCCGCCGCAACCATGCCTCACGGCAAAGTTATAGCTGTCGATAAGTAGGTCCCCTTATAACCCCAATCAAGAAGCAATATCGCTAACGATACCCAAAGTCCGGTCATCTACAAGGCCCTTACCTCGTCCGGCCCCGTCGTCGTCGATTTCTTCGCCACCTGGTGCGGCCCTTGTCAGGCGATTGCGCCAAGTGTAGGAAAGCTCAGCGAGACGTACCCCTATGTGCGATTCATCCAGGTTGATGTCGACAAGGTGCGCTCTGTGGCGCAGGAGATGAGTATCCGGGCGATGCCGACGTTTGTGCTGTATAAGGATGGGCAGCCTCTGGAGAAGAGGATTGTTGGTGGGAATGTGAGAGAGTTGGAGGAGATGATTAAGAGTATTTCTGCTTAGTTGGGTACTCTTGTCCACAACATCATATGTGGATGCATCACGCTTTTATTGAGCGATATCGGCAACGCAATGCAAGCGGAGCGGAACTATTCTCTAGGAATGAGATGAGTATCCAATACGGCTTACAGAAACCGGTGCCTATTTATCATCGTTCAGTTCGCTCCAATCAGGTATTCAAATAATACATCGCATAGAAAGATGTCCAATCCTCCAAAATGCAAACAATGTAGTCTTGCAGACTCCATTAACTAGCCGACTCTCCCCACGTGTCCAGTCCCCGCAGCTCACTCCACTGTTTCTCCAGCTCGCGTACCATCCATCGCGTCCGCCAGCCCACTGTCTTTTCCACATGGGCCAAGAAGCGCAGTGACCCGCGTTGTTCGAGAGGATGTCGCAGGCAGTACCCATCTATCCTGGTCAGTATAATTCAGAAATCTCAAACAAGAAACTTACAGCGGTGTAATAAATGACATGCCATAAAGTATGCATTCTCGACGGTTTCGTTTGACATGGACAAGCCGATGACCATGTTTAGATGTGATGCGATTGTATTCTAGTCCGTTAGTAGCGGTCTTTCCCAATATTTGTACGACCTTACCTCTACTATACGTTGCGAACGGGCCAGCTCAAAGTCACTCGCGGCTTGCCAGTGTCGATTTGACAGAGTGAGGAAGATACACGAGGTGTGATAGTATTGCATTCCGACCACTGCGAGTGTCAGTGCATTGCGGACCATGGGCTCAGATACATACCTGCTGGCGGAGACATCATCCAGATCTCAGGGAACGGTCGACTCTCCGCAACGTCCGCCGGCTTGTACTTCAACGGTTGCCAACTGATTGGTTTTCCTCGATGCCACTGCTCAACGCTATCAGAGAGTTGGCGCCATGTCTCCTCGTCCATGCCACGGGTATACGCTCCTCCACACTGCAGAATCCGAGCACAGAGGTAAATGATGACGTTGGCATACGCCGCGTCATCGCGCCGGTGAAACACGGCCGAGCGCTCATAGTTCTCCAGGTCCAACTGCATAGGTTGATACTGGACGACAGATGCATATATCGCCTGCCGCAGGAACTGCCAGCTCACGGCTTCGGCTAGGCCCCCGGAATACGCCGACCGGGACATGGTGTTGAGGAGACGATTTGAGCCGAACAGATGGTACTTCTCGTCGTTGTTGCTCTCAAGTTCCTCGTAGATGCGTAGAATCACGACCGTGATAAGGAGGTTGTCGTCGTACGTATCCTCCGGCTGCGCCAGCGCAGCGATCAAGAGTTCCAGGCATTGGCCGTGATATTCGGCGGCTTCCCAGTCGCTAGCGTCTGACAAGATGGCGTCGTGTCTGGCTGCGAGAGCTAGAACGGCCTTAAGGACCATAGGGACTTCCAATGCCCGGCGTGGTACCTCGGTCGAAAAATGAGAGCGTGAGTCGCAGATGTCGGTCTGTCATAGTCAGAATGTACTATCAATGTACTATCTATGTGGCGGACTTCAATACCCAAGGAGCTATCTTGGAGATGAATGAACGTAACAAGTATGCCTCGCGGGAGGACAACTTTGGCGAAGCGATTGCCCGCGGGCTTATCGGACTCGAGGATGTCGGCTCTGTCCAGGCTGTTGATGCCAAAGGAGATACTATGCTATTTAGTACAGTCGGCGAGATGGCAGTGGATGAGGGAAGTATCAGTTGTGTTTCGCAAGGTATCGATGGTGCCGGCGCAGGATCTGAGAGGTCTAGTGGGTGATTTCCAACCACTGCATCGTAAGACTTTGTTGGACCTGGTATGAGTAGAGATGATATGTCCGGAAATACAGCTCTAGGCGATACTGGAATCTGTTCTGAAGGCGGCTGTTCTTCATCTTGAGAGTCTTGCGGCGCATCTGTCTCTTCCGATTCTGCAGAATCATCCGCCGATTCAAGTACGAACGTCACTGGTATCGTTAGCAACCCTCAAATGGTTAGATAAGGAGGTGAAGAGAAATACATGAAGTAGGAGTCTTCACCCAAATCTGATGCGGATCCCACACGAGGTCGAATTTCGACGCTGTGCCATGACTCTTCTGATAGACGTGATGAACAGTTCTAAACCGAAATGGTGGATCGAGCCGACACACCCGTCCCAAGCGCGAACAGGGATTACAAGACGATGCTCCTTTTCGAATTGTGCACCGAATATGACGATGGCGACAGCGCTCGCAGCCCCTTCCGATTCTCATGGTCAATTGCGGGGTGAATGATGTTGAGCGCTGAGCTCTGCGGGTGAAAGGCAAAGGGCGGACGGCAACATGGACAATATCTGGTTGTCAGTCTGCAGGTAAGATATGAAGATTTGCCGTCTGATAACGCTTTCGACGGCATTAGTGAAAAGCATATACGAAGCAGCTGCTTCACGGGGCACTTTTTGGAGTTACAGCCTTCCCCGCATCTAGAGTAGAATACCCTGCCAATGATTGGTTCGCCCGCATTTCCCCAGAAATCCACTCTAAAATTGATTCGACCGTGGGGAGTCGCATCAATGGATTGCACACATTCTGCTTTGGGATTATCATGGGATAGAAATGGGAGGCGAATTAATCTCCGGAGTTGTCAGGCGTCGATATAAGCCTATAATTACTTGGCTCATGAAGATTGAAGCATCCTATCCATACATATATATATATACTACTACCGCATCAGATGTTCAGCATTGCTCGACCTAACTAGAAATGTACAATTACTCAAAGGTAGAGCAATTCGCAGCTGTAGCTGTAAATGGCTGAGATATGTTTTCAGGTTTACTCCTTTGAGCGCCATAGCTAAGACAGGGATCTCAATCCACGGATGAGATTCGTTGCAGTTCATAATCATTCATTCAATCCCGAGCTGTACTACCCTATGTAAGAATCTATAATATGTTCATCAGATGACAGCGTAAAGTCTGTTGGTATCGTCGTTTCAAGAAGGGCGAGTGCCGCAGGCGCATGCCGATTATTTACACACTGATAGTCTTGAAGACACTGTTGCAAGGAGTTAGCATTAGCTCATAAAACAAAGAACAAATTCAACTAAAAGACTTACCCAAATCCAGAACTGCCTGTTGCCATGATGGTACCAGGCATCTGAGCCTGCCAATGAATCTCCTTGACAGACTCCATGTAATGAACGAACAACAGCTGGGGAGGCACTTCGGCCAGGCCAGCCTCGCGGCTCTCTTCTTCATCAAGCTCCACAGCCAGATCCCAGAGGGTCACAGTATTGTCGGCAGAACCAACGGCAACAACACTGTCATCTGTGGGATGCCATTCGATACTGGTGACAGGCTCACGATGGAAGTCGAAAGCTGCGACTGGCGATGCTTTGATCTGTGACGAGGGGGCGGACGCATTCGGCTTCCAGTGTCTCAAATCCCAGACAGCCCATTGTCCATCGTCAGCACCCGTGGCCAGGAGATGGAATGTCTGCTTCGACCAGCTCATGACATTGACGTCTGTGTTGGAGACCTTTACGTCAACGGCGGGCTTGCGTGACTTTGACCGGACGTCCCAGACTTTCACGCTTCCGTCGCTGCTGGCGGAAGCAAACACATTTCGCTCATTCGGAGACCATTGTAGCTCTTCGACTGAAGATGTGTGGCCGGTGAATGGCCGGGTGTCTGTGACCCAACCTCCTCCTTCTGTGCGGGTGGTAACGTAGATCAAGCCGTCATTGTCACCGGTCAACAGCTTTCCAAGAGGCTGGAGAGGGGACCAGTCCAGAGCGTAACCCTCGGATTTGTGCATGCGCAGAGTCGAAAGCGGCTTGGAGGCTGACGGCGGCAATACTGTGCCAGGGACGTCGAAGCTGGTCAAATGAGGAGTCACATCGTGGATGACGACCTGGGAGTTTTCGAGCATGGTCGCTGTGATGGTCTGCGGCGGCCTGGAGTAATCAGCGGACTGTGAAGGGGTCTGGTGTGCGCGAATCCTGTTCGTTGTGGATCCGAGAGGAATGCTCTTCGACTCGAGAATCGGCTCATCGGAATCATCATCTGAATCTGAATCACTCTCCGAATCTGTCTCGTTCTCTTTCTCCATCTTGCTGAGACCGCTCATCTTGATCACCAGCAGTTCGTTCTCCTTTGCTTTCCCTCCCGCCGCTTGTGTACCAGAAACAGCGTAGACCGTCGCGGGGTATGTCTTTCGGTTGTCGCCAAGGGAATCGCGCACAATGTCAAATGAGAGACAAGGCCATGGTGTGCTGAGCGTGTGTAACATGTCGTATGTAGACGGATCCGGAGACAGTACCTCTCCAGGAGCTAGTTTTGTCCTTCCAGGGATGAATGTCTGTTTGTCAACCTCCATAGCGTCTATTGTCATCGCATTTGAGTCAGAAACAATTCTAGCGACAGAAAATCGGCAGACGGACCTTTTTCCTCTTCCTCGCGCTCCGCATCAGGTCTTCCATCGACACCTGCCTCCAAAATCTCGTCCTCACTCTCGAATTCGTCCTCGAACTCATCTTCAAACTCCCCCACCTCGTCCGGAAGGTCATCGGCGACCGGCCGCTCTCCGGCCTTGAGGGCAGCGGAGTACTCCTCAGAAGCGTCGGCAGCTCTTTTGGACATTGTGTCGTAGTTACGATGTGAATATCCCGGTAGAAGTGTCCACGAGCCAGTCGTGCGACAGGATGAAAAAGACGGCTGTTGATGGGAATCAGTGATTAGGGTTCAGGAACTTTTTTTTCTCATCCAGAGATTGAGGTGGGATGTGCGCTAATCCTATCGCGGATTAGCGTAGATCGGGCCGCTTCGTCTGGATGCGGCTGTGTTGACTTGCTTGACTTGATGCCGATGCCCATAAGGGTCTCGCATAACCTTGTGCCTCTCGATCAAGTCCTGCTGTTCTTGTCGCCTGCTAATTTGTGATCCGAGCGCTGTTCATCATTTCTCAGTCGTCTATTCCCTTGCTTACTCGTCTGCTGGTTCAGCTTCCGCCCACGTCATTTGTTCCAGCAAAGGAATAACAAAAACAAACAGAAGCTTCATCGAGTGAACTTCCTCCTCCCTCGTTCAAGTCATTCTTATCAAACCTCGAATTCAGATCGCCGAAATATTTTCCATCTTTAATTGCCGAACCGCATCTCATGCGGCTTTGAGAAAGCCTGCCTCCTACCGGCATTTCCGCAACTAGGTCAGTTTCAGCTTCCCTCGTGCTCCCCGCTCGGGTAGGCGATCGGAGAATTAACGGAAGACGTATCAGTTCAGGTCGTAAAGTCATTCCTAACCAGCTTACAATTTGCGACATGGATGTGCCGCAGCCTGTGTCTGATGTCCCGGATGTCCCAGAAACCGGTCATCAACAGAACCTTGAGATGTCTGGTCCTGGACTGGCGGCTACTGAGGAGGCAATGGGACCTCCGGAGTTTCACAATGGATACAGCAGCGACTCTCGCGCTCACTACACCTCACACACTGGCGGTTTCGATTCCCCATCCGCATATGTATCTCGAAACCAAGAGAATGATCAGTCTCGATTTACCGAATCTCCGACATTAACCCAACAACCACGCCCGCCGTCATCATCGAGGCCGGGTTCCGGATTGTCTAGCGGCCCTGAACAGCGACAAGGAATTTCGCAAACCTCTCAAGATGTCAGTCAGAAACAACCATCCCAATCGACGAAGAATAGTGTGGTGATCAAGGTTGGAATGGTTGGTGATGCCCAAATTGGCAAGACAAGTTTGATGGTCAAGTACGTGGAAGGCAGCTGGGACGAAGATTATATCCAGACTTTGGGTATGTTATTCCTCTGGACTCGTGCTGTACGTAGTCTGACGTTATCGACAGGGGTAAATTTCATGGAAAAGACTATCTCCATCAGAAACACGGAGATCACTTTCTCGATCTGGGATCTGGGCGGTCAACGCGAATTCGTCAATATGCTTCCGCTTGTGTGCAATGATGCCGTCGCAATTCTGTTTATGTTTGACCTCACCCGCAAGAGCACATTGAATTCAATCAAGGAATGGTACCGGCAGGGCCGTGGATTCAACAAGACAGCTATTCCTTTCCTGGTCGGCACCAAGTATGACCACTTTGTCAATTTTCCTCGAGAAGATCAAGAAGAGATTTCCATTCAGGTAGGCACGCTGACCAAGAATGATGACCGGGCTTGTGCTGATGATTTCTCAGGCCAAGAGATTCGCCAAAGCGATGAAAGCGAGCTTGATTTTCAGCAGCACCAGCCACAGCATCAACGTGCAAAAGGTATGATACTGTGGACATGAGCTCGAGCTGTGCTAACCGACAGTGTAGATCTTTAAGATTGTCCTTGCCAAAGCCTTTGATCTGAAATGCACCATTCCCGAGATCGAAAACATCGGCGAGCCTCTCTTACTCTATAAGAACGTTTGAACATAACGACGGCAACACAGAAGTGGTACGATTGTCATGTATATTGGGATGAAGTGATGTTGACGACGGCCTGAATTACCTTTGCTCGTCATTCTTGTGACGCAAAGGGATCCGTTGAGTCTGGAAGGATCAGACCGAATCTGCCAGTCGAATTATCCTACTTTCTCTGCATATTCTGCCGTTTTTCTTTTGTTCTTTCTTGTTTTCTTTCTCTTGTCCACAGCATTGGGTTGCGTATTGTGCTCACGGTTTCAATCCTTGCCTTCATCTCGTGTCTAAACTTCTTTTCTCTTCTTGTGCTCGAATATGGCGCTTGTGTCTTCCTTGACTGTTGCTGAAACACAAGCCTGTTCTGGGGTTACAATCATCGGAGCCGGCTTTTCTCTTTCATCTCGGTAACTTTTTAGTCGATGGTTCTTCTGTGTTTAAATAGGTTAATTACATGAATCCTGTCAACCCTCGGTAGCATCAAATTCGTCCTTTGGTTGCTATTGACACCTCAGGCACTAGGTTCCCAAGCCTTGTGGGGTCAGGATCTTGAGGTGGGGGGAAACACATGTGATTCGCCCATTAGCGCCAGGAACCGGTTGTGCTGGTTCTTCGTTCAGATGCAGTCGAAGAAATAACACCTAGTCGCCTCGGGGAAACATCTGCCTGTACCTCAGACTCTAGGTAGTCAGCCTTGCGAGCCTTAGAAAACAGTCACAGGCTCACAGCCTTGTTTCAAGAGCGCGGGGGCCGCAAGTATGGGCGGCCTATAAATTAGTGGCCTTACTTCCGTTTCTTCAACCCATTATTCATTCTTTTTTCTCCCGTTCGCTAGGAGCCTTTTGGATGTCGTCGTTGGATGCGTTATTGAGGGCGCGTTAGCTTACTAGCATTTGTTTTCTTATTCTCGCTCTTGGATATATGCGTTAATTGCATCTCGTAAAGCTGAGGACATGGCGGAAGAACCTCCAGTCCTGACGATTCAGGAGAGGATCAAGGCGCTCAAACTAGCAGGATCACAGCCGACTCCGTTCTTACGAGCCCAAACAATCAACAACCCTCCGGCCAGCGGTCACGGTTCTGTCATTGAGCGCTCGGTGATTGGCAATGAGCCAGCAGCACCCCCTACACAGGCCCCACGATCGCCATCGACAAGGCCGTCGATCACCCAGAAATCCAATGCGCCGCCGCCGCTGCCAACACGGAAAGCTTCCAATCAGCAACTTGCGCCTTCGCTGCCACCTCGCAGACCTTCGGTGAATTCTATTGAATCAGCTGCATCTGATACGTCCCGGTCAACCGTATCGACAAGTGTGGGGAGACCTGTACCAGGGCGATCATCTTCATCAAGTGAAGCAGGGAACGTTCGTACGGTGCGCGCACCTCGATATGATGAGGCAGAGTTGCCTGTCCTCCCTCCAAGAAGAGAAGAAGCGAAAAGTCCCAAGGCGCCTCCACGGCCGAAGCCGACCACGACACAGAGCAGAGATAGTCTACCGCCTCCATTGCCATCGATAAGAGAACCGCCGTCTGTTCCCTCTGCTCGACCTGCATTGCCTATTCGTCGAGCGTCAAGCAACGTCAACCTGAAGAATGGGGATGCAGCGCCTCGGCCGCCCCCGCGAGTCCCGTCGCGAGACAGTCAGGGACAGTCGGCAAGCGCAGAAGGCGAAGGCAAGCCGGCGAGAAAGCTGCCTCCGCCTCCCCCTTCGGGCTCTGCTCTGGGCAAATTGCATCAGTCAGGTTTTGGAGGATTGAACAAGATTGCGCACTCCACGCTTAATGGGGCACCGCCTCCGATCCCTATCGCGTCAAAGCCAGAGAAACCGGACCTTTCCAAATTATTAGCAACCAAACCGCGTGTTCAGCCAAATACTACGACTACAGAGCCCACGGCGATGTGCTTGAAATGCCGAGACTTTTCCGGCCCCGACTCGCACGCCGCCAGGTTTCCGCGGGAGACTCTTCCAACACATGATCTTGCCTGGCTGGCCCGAGAGCTTACAGCACCATTCCCTTCACCCACAGATAAGGCGAGAGCTTTGTTCACCTGGTGCCATCATAATATCTGCTATGATGCCGATGCATTTTTCAACAATTGTGTGAAGCCATCGACACCGGCCAGTACTCTCGCTTCTGGTGTCGCTGTGTGTGAGGGCTACGCCGGGCTCTTTGCCGCCCTCGCAGCCCATGCTGGATTGGAGGCGATTGTGATTGGTGGCCACGGCAAGGGCTATGGCTATCACGCTCTGGGGCCCGGGCAGAGTATTCCTCCTTACAGCGCAGGTCATGCATGGAATGCAGTCCGGATCGACAATGGGCAATGGAAGTTGATCGATGTGTGCTGGGGCGCTGGAGTAGTCCAAGGACCAGGACAACCATACAAGAAACTCTTCAACCCGGCCATGTTCACCATGACGAATGAAGAATTCAGCGTAAAGCACTATCCAGAGAACCCTGAACACCACTTTCGAGACGACGGTCGGCCAGGGATGAGCTGGGAGCAGTATATCACCATGGACCCGGAGGTTCCGTTTGGCATTGAGCGGCCAAGGACTTTCGACGTACAAAGCCATTTCATTAACGAACGCAGCTTCTTACCGGCTGCCAAGCAGATCTCGGTTTACCAGCCGGGACCGCTTCGCTTTCAGTTCGGGCTCATCTGTGAGCATTTCACGCTGGAGCGTCACGGAAAGATCAAGCCTAGCTTGTTTCTTCTGTGGACCCACGGTCTTGATGGACGGAAAGACGAACTTATTCCTTTTGCCTATATTCGGGGCAGTGGGCCTGAGTGCTGGTACATCGATATCGAGGATCCCAGGACACTGGGTGCTCCTGGGCAGAAGCTCCAACTAGCGGCCCTGACTGAGTTTGGAGATCGGAAAGACTGCAGGGGGATCTCTGTGGACGAATATAAGGCGCATGTTGGACGGGTTCGTATGGCCTTTTCGTTTGTTGCCGAATGGGCCCTCGTTTGATCAAGACGGGATAAACGTCCTGTTATTACTCTACTTAATACCCGGACTTGTTTATATTACCTCTCTTTTGTCCTCTGTGCACCGATAGTAGATAGTCAATCAGGACAATCGAGATGAATCATGTTGTCGCAGCCGAATCCAAGTAGAGGACTCGTCTCTGCTTCTGCAAATTTGCTTTAATCTCACTGGAAGAGCTTTCTCTCTTTCATTTTTGAATACCTTTAATAAACAGTGTAGTATGTTGATAGGTAGTATCTCCCCATACAACGTAATCTAATAAAGTCTATCTGTAGTTCTGTATTGCCCCACTTTCCCCGCTTCCCCAGACTAGACCATAAATCATGCCACAAGCTGCTCCAAATCACCTACAATGTCACACCCATAGAGAGAACTGAAAGAAGAACGCGCGCTAGTCGAAGCGATCCAGCGCAACGATATTACAGAAGTTACCCGGCTTGTGGATGATGGCGTCTCCCCTGATGGGCCCAGCTTAGACCGTCCCCCGCTATGGTACGCAGTGCGGTCAGATAATCGTCCCGCCGTCAGGGCGCTTCCTGCTGCGTAGCGGATATCCATCTCCGCAATCTCTATGGGGAAACTGTGCTGTACGAGGCAGCCTACCATAGCCCACTACCCGTGGTGCAGGCGCTGGTACAAGCTGGCGCGGATCTCCATGCCCGGAGCAAGACGGGACGGGTTATCCACCGCGCCGCAGAAGCTGGTCGTGTAGATACCGTGCAGTGGATTCTGACCGATCGCTACTTTACTATCAATATGTCTGGGGCGCACGGCTGGACGCCATTGCACTACGCTGCGCTGGCCGGTCAGAATGACATGGCCCGCTACCTGCTCAAGAACGGGGCTGACCCGACGATCAGATCAAAGATCTGGCGGCCACACGGCTTTACATTACGCTGCGCGTTCGGAGCGAAATGAGACAGGGAAGTGGAAAGATGATGCTACGTTGGTCTGCGCCTTGATCGAGTATGGCGCGGATGTCAATTTGGCTGCTGATGCGCGGTGGCCGTCAGTCAGTGGGGAGTCTCGGGATGAATTGCTCTTTCACGAGCAGCTAGAACTTGTCTATCCCATTCATTGTGCTGTTCTCTCGATTACGCTTAGTAGGGTCAAGGCCCTGCTAGAAGCGGGTGCTGATAGCAATGCGAGAACGAGTGTATGGCAGTACTCCTCTCGACCTGGCTGCGCGGAGAGGGCAACTAGAGATGATTCGCTTTCTCCTTCGCAATGGTGCTAGAGACACCGCTGGCTGTAAGGTGGCGCATCAGAACATAGTGGTCTGATCGGGTGGGATTTGAACAGTGGTTCATTTACCTTTATTGGAATAGTTGACCTTGCATTTCTATTGTTGATGGATTCGTTTATGATGATCATTAATGGCTCGTATAAATCGATCCGCCCGTACTACTCCATACGGAGTGCTGGAGGCATAATTTCGTATCACGGGCCGAGTGAGCTGGTCAAGAGATCGCCGATTGATTAATTAAAAAGAGGTAGCTTTCGAGCCGAAGCGAGTTCACCAAAAGAAGCATGCAGGGGTAAACGGGTAAATGCACGGGCGATGACGCGGTGGCTGCGATCCTAAACATACAGATGACAGGGAGCATTTGGGTTGCTCTTGATTCATCCAACATCAGAGCTCGTCGGCCGAACGTGAACTATAAAATCAAACGCTTCATTCTGTGTCATTGAGCCATTTCGAGAAGGGAGCTGACTCGACAACAGTCGCCAGATTGGTGGGTTTTTCCTTCTGGCAACATTTCCTCCAATAACGCCCAATTGTGTGATCCACATAGGTCAATCTGGACCTCGAATGACTACATTCAAAACATCTATTATGTACTATCAACTGCTCTCATGTTATCTGCCCGTCTGCTGGTCTGGAAACATTTCCACTCTCGTCTTACCTGCCTATCAACTCATTAGTGGCACCCGAAGTCTCCAACGACCGCCACCCGCTGCAAGACATCTCCGATCCACCCGACGGATGTGGAGGGCGGCGGGTCAGATCAAGGTCTTGCTACGATTATAAGGGATCTTCGTCTTCGTTCCCTCTATAGGAAAATGCTTGTGTCTACGTACAATGACTACCTACGGGGTATCCTGCTCCACTGCGCAGTCGACAAGTCGGGGTTGGCGAGGCTCCACAATTGATGTCTCTTGGCGACTGGGATTGTGATAGCTTCACGAATGGGATGCTGGAATAGTGGCAGATCTGTTGGATGAGAGACTACCATGATGACGGCCCAGGTGATACATTGTCTTGGGAATAGGGACTTGTCTGCCAGGAAAAGGTGCCTTGTTGCTTTGGACTGCCGCAGGAGCTTCCACGACATGCCTGATGCGGTATATAGCATGAACCAGGAATCAACCATAAAAGGGCCACCATGCACCTGGCATTCAGTCTCTCCCAGACAAGCAACACCATCTCATCTCAGTGACCTCAACCAACTTCCACAACAACTACAACAAAATGTTCACCTTGAAATCCATCGTCGGCCTCTCCCTCATGATGGCCCCTACCCTTGTCACCGGCTTCGAAGACATCTACTTTGGCTCCTATTCGGGTGAAGGCCTCGGCGGCACCTGGCGAGTCCCCGGTCAGATGGGCGTCTGCTACTACCAGGTCATGGTCGGCGATCAATCCAATTGTGATGGCCTCCGCACCAATCCCGCTGATGGCTCCGGCGGCTGCCCGGGACAGAACTTCAGCGGGCCTAACTTCTGCCATATGCCCATCCCTGGACTCCCAGACGGTTACGAACTCGGTAAGTTCCATCCATGGAGGATTAAGTGGAGTGTCTTTGATAAGAAGGGAGACTGATTTGCAGAATAGACCGCAATGGCGGTGACTGCCCCTCTGATGATGAAGCAGCAGACGGAGTCTGGTACGCTGACATCATTGACAAGAACAATGGAGACGTCAAGGTCGGACGCTGTGTCTATGAATACCAGAAGGGACCCAACTGCGCAAGCACTGGAAGCTTCCTGACCAACAGATTCGTTCACTGCTACCCTGATGCATAAGCGGTCTGAACAGGTTAGAAACAGTTCCAGAAAGACAGTGGACGGGTGGAATGAGATATAGTGGAGTGATAGGGGGATTTTGAGCCGGCCGGCACGTGCATAAATGAGACGTGGATCTGGTAAAAGGGTGACATGCTGTCTGTCCGCAATAGAGGTGGTTCAATATTTGGCCTGTATAAATCGTACTTTAATCCTGCAAGTAACTCGAACCTGAATGATTGCACATTATGGCCAACAGAGGACTTTGAGGCTTTCGAGGGGAGGGCCCGTGCTTCGCAGATGTTATAGATTTCCTCTTAGCCAGACACTCACGGTCTGTAAACAGCTGTCTGTAGTGGATCTGTGGAATTAGGTATGCTTGCCATATGTACAGTCTGGCTATCCTTCATAAGCTTTGAGGTGCGGTACAAAACCTACTCGGAGTTACAGAATATATCAAATCTACTATAGCCGCAGACACAGTGGTAGACGCAGTGGCAGACGCGGTGGTGGTACTAGTCGGGTCTGGGAGGTCAGCTAGGGTGCCCTTTCTCATCTGCCTTTCCGCGATAGTGACTGAATCTGGAGGACGTGGCTCCTTGAAGGCCCAGAAAATCCAAGGCGTCGGACACTGTATTGGTGTCGAGCGCCGAAAGGCGGTCCAATATGCTGGCCTGACTCATAGTGTCGACTTCGGTTGATAATCGAAATCACGAAAGTCGTTGATATGGAAATGCCTCGAGCGAGGAATGGCAGGGCTTTTATTCACGAACAAAGTCATCGAAGCTTCATCATTATATGGGGTCGGCGAACTATGCCGATACCGATCGCTGGAAGTCTCCAGCCGATAGCAACGTCCGGGGAACCCATTACCGCCCCGTATGTGTTGCTGAAGACAGCTTCGTATATGAGTGGGTGGATGTAGATTAGGCTCTCCTGTAAGCTACACTGCCCGAAATCACACTTGTGTCTGGCCTTTATCACTCCTGTCTTTCCCGGATCTCCTCTGCACGAGGGCAATCGCCCATGCCTTTGCCAACTTCCCCTGCTCCTTTTAGTCCAATGCGAGAAAGTCCACAGAATACTCAATTGACTGTATTGAGGCCGAGGGGATTTGAGGTTTCTCACTGTACCTCTCTAAGGAGGGAATAATAAAGCAAAGCCAGTGGCGCTAAACTAGACTGGGTTAGCGTGCAGCTTATCTCACGTGTTGATACGCCGTATTATTAAGGCATCGATCTGCCGGATTGCATCAGCCGCCAGCGAACAACAGAGTCCATGACGCTAGCCGAGCAAGGCATGAAATATAGATAATGGGAGATCCAACGAGTATCAAAAAGGCTTTTGATGCTGCTTATGAGTTCTTGAATCCAGTCCTTCAGCGAGGCACGCAAACCACTCAGCAGTTGAGGCGATTTTTGAATTTTGATGCTGACTAACTGCAAGAGGAAATTCAGAAATATCGCGGGAAATCCCTTCTGGAGATTTTGAGCCAGCATTTACCTACTGGGGCTGAAGATGATGGCTCCAAAAGGACAATTGTTGTTGAAAGAGCCTTGGGCATACTCTTTCGCATCCATGTCGCCTTCGTAACGCCAGTAGATCAAGCCCCCAGTTCACCTCAGCCCGATCATGTATCGGAAGACACTGCTCTGGAGGATGCAAAGAGGAGAAGAGTGTTGCATGCGATACTCGACTTGATATCTCTTGAGGGTATCTACCCATCTCTCTCTTCAGGAGTAGGCATACCCCTCCAGCAGAGGGTCATTTCTGTGTTGCCTGCTGGTGTGATCGCTCAGCAACAAGACAAAATTGCGCACGACAAGCCTCAGCATGAGGCCCTTCTTGAGCGCATCATGGATATCCTATCGGATATTCTTTGTGATGAGAGACCTAGCATACAGCCCGTTATTCGTGGTCGTATTCTGAGCGATTTAATCAGTGCTGCGGCAGACTTGGCCTATAATCCAAGCATCCCACATCTTAATACGAAGAAAAAATACGGCGAGATACTTTCTAGATTGATTGATGAGTATGTCTATCTAGGCCTCCGCTCATACTTCGCCCACTAACGAGAAACAGAACACCCAGCTCGGTCTTATTATCGACACTGTCAAGCTTTCTTCAGTCCAATCCTGCTCCCTGGTTCAAAAGTCTAGTATCTAGTCAACTTTCGCGGGTTCCTCTGCGTGAGGACGGAGTGTTGCAGACAATCGTCTTTTTAGCCTCCCAGTTTGCTCCTTCGTTAGGACAAGAGTCCCAGACCCAGCTGTCAAATGGGCCGCATTTCACCGTACAAGGCATCATGCAGACATCGCGATTACTTTCTTCAGTACCGGAAGGGATGGATCCGAAGTCCTACTTTACAAGGATTGCTCCGCAGCTTTTAGCATTGCTGGACGGCGAAGATCCCGACTTCAAGAAGACTGCGGCATATGTTATTGGCAACGGTATACTTGGTAAGCGAGCTTATGGGGCCTCTGGAACTATAGGTCACTCAATCTTTGTGGAACCGATCTATAAGATACTTGTTGGGGAGCATGATGCTTCCACACAGCTATGGATGAAGGTGTCTGGAAATTCAGCCAAGGACTTTCAGAGTCCGACAGTCATGTGTGAACCAACCTTGCTGTTGGCAATCGAAAGACTAACTAGCCTGACACTCCAACATCCGAATCCTGGGCTTGTCAAGAGGCTCGTGTATCCCGTTCTTATACCACTCTGGGGATTGGCTTGTTTTTCCCTGGAGCAACAAAGGCCAAAGCTCCATGAAAAAGTCGTGGCGATCTTACAGACATATTTTGGCATATCGGTCGGAATCCAACCTTTGAAGAAGCTGGTCGATAATCTGCTCTGGGACGGTGGTGCGACGTGGACTTATGGTCTGGATTCCAACAACCTCTTGGTGTTAGAAAAGCGTAAAAGCGCGGAATCGGAAAGATCGAATATTGTGCGACTGGTTGACACACTACAATCCCGGGCCAAGCTCTTTGTCACTTTACTGGGAGCTGACCCGAGTAGCGAAGAACGGACTGGCGATATATTTCTATATGTGAGCCAGAGTTGGCTTGTCCAACCAGCACAAGAGCGCTCATTGGACCGACTGCAGTTGCCTTCGGATACCGAGGACTCAACCAATATCATTCAGAAATTAGTAAGCGCAAAGCTTGCTGAAGTACTCCTGGAGAGCTTCAAGGATACCCTTTCACGGCGGCCGCTTAAAGTGCTTGAGCTAATAAAGCAAGTTATCGAAGGCGAATTGAACAGGGTCAAGGCATCTCAGAAGACCAAACCTCAAGACTCCCAAGGGGTGTCACTTTCGTCCTTAGCAAACATCGTTTCGAACGAAACGCACGGGCAAGAGGTAACTGTGACTGGCACTGACGCAGCCGAGTCACTGCCGGCCGTGTTCAGTTTACTTTCCACCGTGCTGGCCTCCCCTGAGTTTTCTGTGACAGAGGGGATGTTACCCGTTCTTCAAGAACTGAAGTTAGTGCTCGATGAGCTTATACCGCATCTACCATCGTCTCTTGCCAAGCCAGGGACGACCTCGTCGATGCTACTGGAGATCCACAACACCTCGCCCGAAGAAGGTGGCCCGGCAAAATCGCCTGCTCAGATCTCTGATTTCGAAACACATCGCCGAGCATTGGCTAATCTCAATTCTGATCTCCCACCCGTGCAAGCTGAGGGCTTCTTGCTCCTCTCTGATCTTATCAAAAAATCCTCACCAGTTCTAGACATCCCCTCCACATTAACCCTGCTTTTGTCCGTTATTACCGATCAATCTGGGCCGTCCGCCGACGACGAATTCATATATCTAAACGCAATCAAGTTGATCGGGACGCTAGCATCGAGGCACCCACGCACTGTCGTAAAAACACTGGTGGACCGTTACATCGACAGAACCGAAACCGTTGGTCTCGACCAGAGACTCAAAATCGGAGAGTCCTTACTACGAACAGTTCAGGACCTCGGCGAGGCCTTGACAGGCGAAACAGCAAAGATTCTCGGTGAGGGTATGATTACCGTTGCAGGACGGCGAGCACGCAAAGCCCAGACACACAAGCGTCGGAAAGAAGAGCTCGAAAAAGAAAGACGAGCGAGAGAGCGCGAAGAGCGCCGAAATAAGGAGCCCGCCATGCCTCCAGGCTGGACTATCACCACAACGCCAACCAGCTCCAAAGCCGAGGCAGTCGAGGAGGATGATTCCGATGCCGAAACTCCAGAGCAGGCTGCCCATCACGCAAACATCCTGTCCGCCTGGGCCGCAGGTACTCACCCAGATGAAGAGCCAGATGACCTCCGAGTCCGGGCGTCTGCGCTCTCTGTCCTGGCATCTGCAGTTCAAACCAATATCACAGGTCTGGGCCCATCGATAGCCTCATCCGCAGTCGATCTAGCGCTCGACACTCTCACCTTAGAGCCTGGTCCTGAATCAGCAATCCTCCGCCGCGCAAGTGTCGTCCTTCTCCTCGATATCCTCAAAGCAGTGGATACAGCGAGGGAATCACGAGGAAGTCAAGGACTGGGATTTGGCTTCTCGCTCTCCGACCAAAGTACCCGCAACCGCCGGGAGAATCAGGATGAAGAAACCCGTGGTCCCGCTACAATAGGCAATATCCCTTATATGCTCCGCGTTTTGGCCTTTGTGGAAAGCAAAGAAACAGACACCATTGTTCGTGGTCACATCCGTGTCCTGATTGAGAGCTTGGAAGCGTGGTTGGAGAATTCGCTGCTATGGGGTATTGGGGCGCAGGGCGGAGATGCAGACGAGATTCAACCGCGATTGGAGTTGGGCGATAGGATAGCAGGTCTAAGCATCGATCCGTTGGCCGATAGACAAGGTGCACGACCGCGGATTGAAGAAATCGAGTGATCTCTCCGTCCTGTAACTAGTTGATTGTCTCAGAGTCACGTTGTGCGCAACACGATATAGAATGACCTGGATTGTTCGCTCTCCGATTTCGAAATAAGACGGCCATCCGAGACGTAAATTGCTTTGGAGACTCATCAATTCGGTTATCATTAAGATACAGGAGCCATTTTGCACACCATTCTCGTAAAATCATTTCAATATGAACCACAAAGCCAGTAAATCCCACGATAGCCACGCCATCCCATTGAAACACCTAGGCCGTCAATCAGATACCCACTGAACGCTCCAGGCCATTACAGCCATCCTATCCCAGTCCTCATACATGACGGGAAAGTCCTTGATCAACACAAATTTGGCCTTGAGAATAGAGAAAAGAAAAACGTGTCTACGGCGAAACGCTCAGACGTCGATTTACCAGCGCTGATTACCACCACCTCGTCCCCGACCGCGCCCTGCTCCTCTTCCACGCCACTGACTACCGCCGCCGCCGCGATTGTTATTGTTGTAGTTACGACGGCGGCCACGGTTCCATCCGCCTTCGGGCTTAGGCTTATTGGGACGAGGGCCAGCCTCAACCCTCGCTTGGCGCTCTTCGTCCGACAGGTGGAACTTGTTTTCGATTCCGACGAGTTCGCAGAACTGAGCAGTCTGAGGGTTGGTGTATTCAAGGGGCAACTCGTCGGTAGTAATTGGGACGGCAGGATCGAAGAAAGGTGCAGTGGGGGTGAAGTCCTCTGGAACCATCATCTTGCCAGCCTTGACGACGTTTTCTTCGACCCACTGCTCGGCTTCTTCGATAAGGGGTTTGTAGAATGCTTGGCCACGGTCCGGCTGCATTTGAACGGCGGGATCGCCCAGCTGCAGCTCGTCCGCGAAGACGCGAGTGATAGCCAGCCACTCTTTGTCATATTCAAGACGGAAAGGACGAGCGCGCTGGGTACCATGCTGCTCAGAAACAGTCGGTATCTCGAGCAATTCGAGGAAATGGCGCTTTGGTTCACACTTGTCCAATGCGAGGAATCGTGTGGTCTTGTTGGTAATTGTTTCTGGAACAGGTTCACTGACGGACGGATCGGATTTTGGGGTGGCTTGAGGGCGTGAGAAGCTTGAAGGGAGCTGGTTGCGAACATCTTGGGAGACCGCACCGTCCACCCGGGAAAAGCTAGCGGGAAGTTGGTTGCGAACGTCCTGAGACACAAAACCTTCAGGTCGAGAGAAGCTGGTAGGGAGTAGATTACGAACGTCTTGAGAGACTAGACTCCTAACCTGAGGTTTGTCCGGTTGGGTGGCGCCTGAAGCCCCTGGGGGACCATTGCCAGGAATACCTGGGCCGGCGTGTTCGGCAACAACTGCGTCCTGCGTCTGGGTTGCTCCCTGGGTCTCAGTCGTCGTAGATATTTCCTGATCCGAATCGCTATCGAGGTCGAGTGGGATCTCGTCTGAATTCTTTGTAGCGCTCACGGCATGGCCTGTCTTTTGCTTCTTGGTTTCCGATTCGTTCTCGTCAGCGGGTTTCTCAACCTGCGTGATCTTTCGCACCGGATCGTCCTCGTCAACGCTTATCTTGCGCCAAGTAAGACTATGTGGGAGTTGTGAAGCTGAGTTGTCTTGTGGTTCTTCCAAGCGACGAGCATTTTCCGCTGCTTCGTTCCTCGCAGCCACTGCATGGAAGTTATTCCACGCCGAAATCCGGCTTTGATTATCGTCGTGAACGCGTTTAAGCGGTGAGCTGGTACGGGACAAGGCGACGGGGTTGCTCTGTTGCGTGTCTTGAGTGGCAGGTAGTTCCCTTGGAGGCTCTTCGAGGCGCTCGTCTTCTCCATGGGTGGTGGCGGCATGCCTGTTGTTCTCAGCAGCATCATGTGGAACCTGGGCCTGCTCGGTCGGCAAGTCTTCATCACCGAGTACGAGCGAGGTGACAACGGCACCGTCCATCCCAAAAGGGGTTGTGAGAGTAGATTCGTTGAAAGGGTTTCTCTGAGAAGACGCAATATGTCTTGTTGGACCGAGAGAGTCTGCCTGTAAGTTGTTCCCATGCTGAACCACTGCATTAAATTTCACGTGCAGGTGGGCTGAGAACCAGAAGGCAGGGCGCAGACGGTCAAGAACAAATCTGGCGGCAATGCTTCCAAGCCGGCCGCTGTTGGAATCCTCTCGGAAGCCGTGCTTCTTTGCGAAAAGCGTCTCGTAATCACCGCAAAGCTCAACTCGGTTGGGCCAGTCATGGGACAAGCCAAGATCGACCTGAGTACGAATTTGCAGAAGCTTGCGTACATCTAACTCTCTCACATGATAAATGCTCTGCACGTCATCATTGTTGTAGGGAAGACGCTCAAAATGTGGCTTCCGGTAGTCGTAGCCTTTCCAGATGCCAGACAAGCCTGCAATGCGAAGAGGGCCACAGCGGATGACATTTGCTGCCCCCAAGTAATAGATGTTTGGTGCCACCCAACCACCGTAGTAAAGCTCGAAAAGGTAGTTGCTTGCTTCATGGTTGCCCCCAATGAACACAGTCAAATAAGGGGCGGTCTTCTTGCCGCTGTAGTATTCATGGAAGTCGCCGATCTCCTTGTATTTCTGAGGCACTGACATACAAGCGAGATCGTTTGAGTTGCGGACGGCCTGGGTTGGAAAGTTAAGAGGCAGAACTGACACTGAGTAAGGAATCATTCTTACTTGAAAGTCACCTCCGATCACCACCAGATCGACGCCATCCCAGCCCCGTCGAGTAGCTGACCTTGCGACAGAGTCGTAGATGTCATCAAGTCGACCATGTCCCTAACATTGTTTTAGCATGAGTAGGTAGGCTTCAGATATGGAGAATAGGCGCGAAACGTACGCAACCCTCAAAAGCGACCCTGAGCGGGGCAGGGTTCGCTGTAGACACTTCCATTATTTTGGATAGCGTCAGAAAGACAGAATTCGAGGTAGACAAACGCTGTATGCTATGAATCAAATGATGTGCAAAGATGGAGGAAGATGAAGAAAGTTAAAGGAGATAGAGGAAGAGGGGGATGGAAGAAGCAAGAAGCAAGAAGGAAATAAAGCAAAAGCAAGTCAGAGAGTTGAAGGAGAGAGTGAAGATGGAGAAATAAAAGTGAGTGATTCAGGGAGGCGAGTAGAAGGAGGCTGGCAGCGTGATCTGCTCAGAAGTGAATGAATGTTTAATGGATCAAGAAGATTTAGTTGGGGTTGTGAGACTCCCGTTCTCCGTCACTTTTTTCTGTGGCACAACAGACTAGACAACCAACTATTACTTCCTTCTCTAGGGGCTGATATTCACAAGAACCTCTGTCCGCATATCGGAAGAAGCCTTTTTACTTTGACAATATGCCTCTCAGTGATCATACTCCTCGCTTGAATTTTCTCAAGGACTCTGCCAGCGTGCTGGACTTGCTCAGCCCTTCGACAGCATCTCACTTGTTAATGGTCCATAATCGAATACTTCATGACGAGTTCAAACCTCTGAATCAACGGCAACTTGACTTCGCATGCGGTGCATGCGGTAGTATCAGAAAACCTGAGAGGACCAAAACTATTGAAATTAGAAAGAAAAAAGCAAAATCCTCTAGTTCTTCTGCTTCCAAGAAAACTTCAGCTGTTGGAGCTACGGTCTACAAATGCCTTCGTTGCCATCGAAGAACCGTTAAACCAGCAGCACGTTCCAATATAACGTCTAAGCCTGACACGACAGCGGCTCCTATTTCTACTACTCAGTCCACGACACCTACCACTGCAAAATCCGTTTCTCCAACTGCGCAAGCTGTTGAGGCGGTCCGAAGCAGTAAAACGGCCGACAACGCCAGTAGCAAGAAACGTGCGAAAGCGAGAAAGCAAGGCGGACTACAAGCTCTTCTGGCTTCAAAGCAACAATCTCAATCAAAATCATCTCAGTCTCTCGATTTATTCGATTTTCTACAGCAGTGACCAATCTGGGGGATTCTACTAGCATTTTGATGCCAAGCCCGGGCATTCGGCGTTACTTCGTCTCCGAGGTGTTTTGGGACTAGCGCGGGGCTGCTACTAACATCATTGGGGAAGCTCCAGCTCCAGTTGTATTGCCGTAGATCGCAACAACGATCTCGCTCTCGTTCTCCTCATTGATTCGGATACAGCACATCATCACTTCCTATAGGGTACAAGCACAACCAGCTAGACAGATGTCCTCCGACTCGATGTCCGACTATTCCCACGATGAGGAGCACGACCCCCAGGCGGATGAGCTCCGCGAAACAGCTCTAGTGACGCTGGAAACTCTCATAAGCTCCTGCAGTCAGCAAATGCAACCTTACCTAGCCAACGCTGTCAAATCCTCCCTTCGATTCCTCAAGTACGATCCTAATGTGGCCGATGTCGAAGACGATGAGGAAATGGGAGGCACTCAGGATGATGGCTCCGAGGATGACGCAACAGAGGAACCCGACTTGGAAGACGACGAATTCGGTGACTTTGAAGATGAAGGAGGCTATAGTGATATCGATGATATGAGTTGGAAGGTTCGCCGCTGCGCAGCAAAGTTGCTTTACACTGTCATCTCAACTTACGGGCGTACTCGCGCTTTGGACGACACGTCTTTATATCAGCAAATCGCTCCCGCTCTCATTGCTCGGTTCAAGAAGGAGAGAGAAGAGAGTGTGAAGCTGGAGGTCGTCTCAACCATGACTGCTCTCGTCCGAAAGACCAGTGAAGGAGCTATGATTATAACCTCAAATGGGTTTCTTGAATCAGTGGGAGGATCGAAAAACTCGAGAAAGAGGAGACGGCAAGACAGCGATGCTAGTATGATTGATTTTGAGCCCAGCATTGGCACTTCTTCCGCAATCAGCACGCCGGTTATCGCTCCATCGTCGCCCAAGACCGGTGCTCAGGCTGAGCTAAGCAGGTCGGTTCCGGTTATCGTCCAGAGTTTGGTGAAGATGTGGAAGTCGGCTTCGGTGCCATTGAAACAAGCCATCATTGTCCTACTGAAGAGCTTGGCTCTCGTGCGCTATGGCGGTCTAGCAGATCATCTGCAGCAGATCGAAGATCCCATTGCCGATGTCCTGAAGTCTTCATCCACAGGCAGCGCGACTGCGACCGCTGGCCCCGCTGTCAGTGCCGGAACCCTACAAACCGAAACACTGAGCCTAATCGCTGCCATTGCCGAAACTCACACATCAGATGCACTTCTGCCCTTCCTGATTGCGTTGATTCCGGGCGTGATCGGTGCTGTCAACGACCGGAACTACAAGGTCAGCAGCGAAGCTCTTGGAGCTGTCGAGCAAATCATCAAAGCTCTGACCCCTCCTCGTGTCTCTGCAGATTCTCGTGATCTCGCGTCGCAATTAGAGAAGCTGTACGATGAGATCCTCTCCCGTATCACAGATACGAGTGCCGACCTTGAAGTTCGGCAGCGGGCCATACATGTCTTTGGTGTCCTTCTGGCACGTACGTCTGGGGAGAAGGGTTCTGATTTCCTGTCGTCAGATCGGCGATCAAAGGGTCTTTCTGTCTTGGTAGATCGCTTGAGGAATGAGACTACACGCCTTGCCTCTGTCCGTGCCGTGGATGATGTAGCTGTTCTCTGCACCAAGGAAACAGACGTTACCGCAGCCTGGGTCAGTGAGGTGACTGTGGAACTTGGTGCCCAGCTACGAAAGTCGGACCGCGTTCTCCGTGGTGCGAGCCTGGAAACTTTACGTAGCTTGGCCATGAACCCAAGGACAAGGACCCATTACGACGGAAAGACAATGAAGGAGCTGGAGGACTGCCTTCTGCCTCTAATCAGCGCTGATGACTTTCATTTTCTTGCACCCTCCCTCATTATATTGGCAAAGCTCATACCGGGTAATGCCCAGCTTCTTGTCAATGAAGGCTTGGTCTCTGCTCTATGCTCTATTGTTCTCGCTCCACTCGTTGGCACGGTGCTCAAGGCATTACTTCTCCTGGTGAAGGTTATCGGAGAGGAAGGCGCTGGAGCCGAATTGATGCAGAAGCTTCTCCGGGACGTGGGTATCAACGGCGACACCTCAGTGGTTGGAAGAGCGATTGGAACTCTACTTGTCCATGGCGGTCCCAAATTAGGCGTTCGGATGGAGGACTTCTTGACCGAATTGCAAACTGCGCAGGATGCTCAACGGAAATGCCTTGCACTCGCCATCATTGGTGAGATCGGTCTTCGTATGGGCTCCACGTGCTCCTTAACTCCGGATCTTTTTATCACCCACTTCGATTCAAAGTCTGATAAGGTCAGGTTGGCTGCTGCTACTGCCCTTGGAAACGCGGCCGCAGGTAACGTGAAGACTTACATGCCCATCATTTTGGATGGCCTTACGAAATCAAACCCTCGAAGCTATCTGCTTCTGCACTCCGTTAAGGAATTACTCCAACATCCCGAGATTGTTCGCCCTGATGTCGCTCCTATTGCTGTCAAGTTATGGCAGGCTCTCCTTCTGGTGTCGGAAGAAGAGGACAATCGTGCCGTGGGAGCAGAATGCATTGGTCGCCTGGCATTGATTGATCCAGTGGCGTACATCCCGCATTTCCAGGTAAGCTTGGAGTCCTTGTCCACGTCTCTTTCCCTGTCCTGACATCATTGCTCCAGGACTACCTCTCCAGTTCCGATCCAAACATTCGGGGTGTTGTCATATCTGCATTCCGTTACACTCTTACTGATTCCAGGGGCTCTTACAACGATGTGTTGAGACCTCTAATTGTTCCGCTCCTGGTCAACATGCTCAGTGACCGTGATCTTGGCAACCACCGCCTCGCTCTGACAACGCTCAATTCCGCCATCCACAATAAGATGAACATCATCCTGCCTCACCTTAGCGAATTGCTTCCGGCGGTCTTTGGCGACACCCAGGTCAAACCTGAACTCATCCGCGAGGTGCAGATGGGTCCATTCAAGCACAAGGTTGACGATGGCCTAGAGCTGCGTAAGGTACGTGATGTGCCCGTCCTGCACATTGAAGCGTCGTTTCAGCTTCGCCGAACTAACATTCATCAGAGCGCCTACGAAACACTTTATGCCTCCTTGGACACCGCGTTCTCCGTCGCGCATGTTTCCGAATTTTTCGACCGTATCCTAGCCGGACTCGAAGACGAGCAAGACATCCGCACCATATGCAATCTCATGACCTCGAAACTTATCCCAATTGCACCAGAAGAAACTCAACGCTACCTCGACCAGCTTTCGGAACGTTACTCTGCCGTATTGTCCTTCAAGCCCAAGGATAATGCAGTGAAGCAGGAACTCGAGAAAGCACAGGAGGCCTCCATGGGTATCCTCAAGGTGACGCGAGAGCTAAGCAAGGCTTTCCCCAACGCTGAGGTCTCCGGTGATCATCACAAGTGGAAAGCGTACCTGGAATGGGTTCGAAAGACCTTTGCTACCCAGCTCAAGAGCCTCGAGACGGAATTCTAGGCGTGCTTTTTAGACGAAAGAATGCCATCTTGATGGAGGGGAAAGCTTGGCAATGGTACCGACCAAGGCGCCCCGTACTGTGCATTTGTTCTTAGGAGCTTAATAAAATTCCTTCGAGGAGTCGAGATGGATACTCGGCTTTCTCGACTGGATTTCTACTGGCTTGAAATGATAATGACTGAATGCCAACTGTAACCATCCGTCATCAATCAGGACCAGTAACACATATCAATATCGTCTGTAACACAAGCTGAGGATCCATAAAGACAACCACGACAACGTAGCACAGCACATGTCTAGGAGCAGCAGGAGCGAGAACGTGCAACATTGCAATGGACCTGGTTAAGGATGGTCAAGAATCGACTGATGAATACAGATCGCTCAAAGACGAAAATATGCTTGTTTGTCATTAATGCTAAATGGTATCGCTCAACGATTCCTCGTGAACCTGAACTCCAAGTATGCAAATGTCTGCCGCCATGTAACGCCCAACCATCGTCAGAAGAAATTAAGTACTCCAACATGGAAACAATGAAAAACGGAGGAATGGAAAAGAGCTCGAAGTAAAAATACGCTCAGAATAGTCACGCCGTGAATGCAATTGCCAAACTCCGTTCCGGGGGTATAGCATATAACCAACTGACCCCAAGACAAAATGATTGTTCTCAAGCTTTTGACAGCGACTGGGAAAAGAAAGAAATCTCTTATTGAGTGATGGACTTTTTCTTCAGCACGCCGAGTTGCTCCAGTTTCGACCATGCGTGATCCATATCGGAACCTTCGGTTAGTACAGGTCGAAATTCCAATCCATCCAGAGACTTGATCGAACCGCCGGTTCCAGCGTAGAGCATGAGCTCAAATATTCTGCGGCGAAGACGTGTCGCGTCATCCAGATGGGATAGGTATTTCTGGTCTGCCTGCGCATCTGCAGTTGGCAGAGTGTATGGATCGTCGATTTCCAGCTCTGTTTCAGCAGGTGTCTCCCAAAGCGCCGGACGTATATCACCTTCATCCGGCCCTACATCAGCTAGGGCAGAGGCAAGATCTAAGCCACCCTTTGCTCTCTTCTTGCGGTCTTCCGGAATTGCTCTTATCCTCCTTTTGTCAGCATCTTTCCCGTTCCCAGTCAGAGCCGGTGGATAGAACCGCAACGTAAGGGGATTTCCTCTCAGGTCGACCTTATGAAGAGAGCAACCCTGGCCCTGTCTGGTTCGTCCCATTCGACTCAGAGCTTGGCAGAGCTTTCTCATTCGTACAATAGAATTGCCAGCAATAGCCAGGCGGGAAAGGCAATTCAAGCCCACCAGTTCAGTAATACTGCTTAGCGAATTGAAGTTGAGGTTCAGAACTTTCAGGTTGGGAAAGTTGGAGGAGAAATCTGCAGGTAGAGTCTGCAGATTGCATGACGCAGCGTCGAGAAGTTGTAAGCCCAAAAGTGGGACGGAGGGTGAGAGAACCCGCGTTGATAATTTGTTCGAAGAAAGAAATATCTTGCGGATGTCTTTGACTTTTCCTAGGTCGATGTCCAGGTATGTATTTTCCTGATCGCTCGACTTTTGCTCACGAACGGATAGAACCTCCAAGGCGCGGCACCGTTCCAGGCCGAATACCGTAGACAGAAAATTCTGATCAATATAGAGAAGGTCCAAAGACGGGAATATGCTGACATCGAGAGTATGAAGCTGATTGTTTGCAAGCTTCAGTGATCGTAGCATCCGCAGGGGCGCTGACATATCGATCTGCTTCAGCTGGTTGGAGCTGAGGTCAAGCTTTGACAAGGATGGGAGGAAGTCGAGGTGCCGAACGGATACCAGCCGGTTGTGACTCAGGTCTAATTCTTGCAAGCGAGTTCTGCTCGGAAAGGTAGAAAGAAGTTAGCATTGCAGGGTACATCGAGTAAAGCCACAACAACAGATCAACTCACAATTCCCCAGTTCCAAAATCAATCGCCGCGAGTGAGTTGTTACTCAGCTTCAAGGTCAAAAGGCCGTTCAGATCAAGTATACCGTCAATATTCCGGATATTGTTTCCGTCTGCTTTCAGCTCTCTTAGATGAATAAGACTACCGAAGCCGTCCAGGCTGTCCAGCTCGTTGTTGGATACATCCAGATACTGTAGGTTAACCAAATGGCCCCACGCAGTCAAGTTCGAAAGACAATTCCGTGGTATTCTGAGAGTTCTCAAACTCGTGGGCACACCGCCCAGCTGGCCTATCTCATTGTCCGAGACGTCAAGGTCTTCTATACGGGGACAAAACTCGTTCAATTTGTGCAACGTTATCAGCCCTTTGTCTCGAAGGACCAAGCGCCGGACATGATCCCAGTACGGTTCGAAAGGTTCAGCTTCGGTCAAGTGCTTGACCAGCTCCTCAGTCGCTAGAGCAAACGTCCCATGGACTTGGCGCAAGGATGTAGAGCGTGTGCGCTGAGCGACGTAACTCAATTCAAGGTGTAATGGCTGGTCAATCCCGTCGGTGGTAAAGTCAGGCAGAGGACTGAGATGGAAGCTATATGTTGTATCCGAGCCAGTTTGTGTAAGGTACATTATGGAGTTCTCTGGATGATCCTTCTCAGGAGTAGACTCTATGTCCCCGGAATCTCCTTGGAGTATGCTTAGATCATTGTCCACGAATTCACTCTTATGTTCTGTTTTGGAGAGCAAATGTTGTAGGAAAGTCCGTCCTCCTGGACAGGCACGGTTTGCGATAAGTTGGGAAGATCGGCTAGGTCGCTGGTGGCAGTATGGCCCTTGTGTTGTAGTTCCAGCACCTTGCTCGATCGTCCTCGCCGCGTGATGTACGGATCCTGTTTGGCTTCCGTCGTTGTAGACAATATGGGAAACTAGTGGAGAAGAGAAGCTGATTGTTACAACCCGGGCTTGATGATGAATGTCTCGGTCATGTCGTGGAGGTTCTGACAAGCGCCCTTCATGGAGTTGGATCTCATGCTCAACTTCACTTGAAGTTTCAGTGTCTTTCTGCTCGTCCGTACGCCATGAAGTGGCTCCCGTTTCTGAAATCGGGGCGCTAGAAGTAAAGCGAGTCAACTTGGAACGAAGAGTACTACCACTAGCCGGCGCCTCTGCAACAGCTGGTTGCGAGCCAGAGCCAGACTTCGAGTCGGATATTCTGGTACCGGCGGAACTTGTGAAGTTTTCACCTCTTTGACTCGGAGGAAGACTTTTTGTTTTGTCGGGCGAGGATAAACTGTGTACCCTCATCATTTCCTGTAGTTCGTCGACGCTGAGGTCAGGGATATCCTTGAAAGGGTCATCCTCGCTATCGTCACCCTTCGGCTTCTCTTGGGACTGTTCGTGCTTTTCTTTGACCCATTGGTGCTTGGAACGGTCATAAGTAAACCCGTTCACCTGTTCGGGGATCAAACGCGATACAAGATCGGAAGACAACACTCCCTTCGCATGTGAGCTGAAAGAAGAGGCAGTGGGTATCGAGCGAGAGCTCAGGCTTTTGGAGGAAACATGGGTGTCCATTGTCAGGGGAGGGTCTACATCGGTATTTTGTTCCTCAGTCAGGTTCCCAGGATGTTTCCGTCCCAAGTGCTCAGGGTTCTTTCCTCCTTTACTGTCACCTTTCTCCAGGTGCAGAGACATCACGGAAGAGTTGACACCAAATTCTGGGTCATCCTGTTCCTGGAATCTCTTGAGATGGCTCAAGATCCGAGGATTAGGCTCTTTAGGCTCTCGTAATTTGCGCATATCTACACCTTCACGACTTGGAGGGCGCGAGAACTCTTCTCGGGTTGACTCATCTTCATAAGTCTCGGCATCATCACCCTCGGTATCAGACTCCTCGACGCTCGAGAGGCCGCCAGCGGGCTTGCCCTTTGCTCGAATTATGTCCATGATTTTCGTTGCTTCGTTCAAAAAGTCCTGTGTCGTGATTGACCCCTTTCGGATCTGTTCATTGACGCCTGTCACCCTCACCATCGGTATTTTCGCCTCCTGGGGAGACCTTGCGCCTATGCGGGTGTTTAGATCACCGTCTCTGTTAGATGAAGATCTCTTCCTCAAAGAGGACCTTGTTTGACTTGGAGTTGGAGTCCTGGGTCTCGGTGTGGATTCTTGTTGAAGAGGTGACTCGTCGTTAGCATGATCCATGCCGTGTTGGATCAAGCTTCTCTGCAGTAGGGACAAATTATCAGTCGGCTGATCGTTGCCCTCCCCTGCCCCGTAAACTTCCCCTCCCGAGATATCAAGGCTGAGAATGGTTCTGCGCCTTTTCGGGTTCGGATCCTTGGCTGGGGTGTCCCTCGTCCATTGGTTTTCCCAGTCGTCTATATTGTCCATCTGATCAACGCTAGGCTGCGGCCTCATTCTTGATGCTCGGCTGGAGCTAGGCCTATGTATCTCAGAGTCGCGGTTGTGGTTTCCAAAAGCACTATGTCGAAGATGTTGTCGTCTACCAGAAGGCTTTCGGCGAGAAGAGGGGTGGAAGTCGGACTCTTCGACATCATTATTCAAGAATTTGGGTTCGTACGGGCTTGTATCCGAGAAATCGAAATGGTCGAGTTCGCCATCACCAAATCGGCTAATTCTAGGCTTCATCATGTTGCGGGAGCGTGGACGTTCTTGTCTTCTCGTGGAGCGATCGCCGGGCGTTTCCTGCCTCACATGCAAGAAACTTCGGCTCTCTCCTTTACGCCTGGCCTCTTCGGAAGGCGAAACCGGCTCGTCATCCTCCGACAGATCGCCAAACGTTTCCTCAAACTGGCTCATTCGGCGCAGAAGCCTGTTGTTGGTAAAGGTATCATGGTTTCCAAAAAGTTTGAGAGGGCTCCCAGAAGACGGCATGGCAATCGGGTTGCCATCACCACTGGGTGCTCTAGCGTAGGCAGAAGAAGGTCTTGGCAAAGTTGGGGGTTCTGTAGCACGAGAGATCTTGTTATAAAAGGGAGGGGAGCTGCGGATTCTTGAGTTTGAGGGCAAATATGGAGAAAGACGCTGAGAGAGAAAGGAGGATGGAGAAAAACGTCGCTGCGGAA